TCTTCTCACAGGTGAGGACAAATTCACCGCACCACGCCTCCGCACACACGCATCTCCCGCAGACTTTCGGAGGCTTCTTCGCGCACTTAAATTCACTGTAGAAATGTTGTTCATCAGGATTAGGAAAACAACAAGATGCATTTAAAAGGACTTACCGTTGCTTCACTAGATAGTCGGAGAGTTAAGAGTCGCTCCAAATGAAAAGAAAAATGTTTTTGTTTAAGAGGTGGGCTGGTGCTCAGGGCGACATGCAGCTGAGTCCAGGAAATAAATAGAAAATCAAGACAAAAAAAATGGGGTCTGATCTGTGTTTCCGCCTTCCTGCTGAGAAGTTGCTCTCCTGCCTCAGTGAATGACTTAAGGAAGATGAGAATAGCTCCTTTCCTCTGCCTTTGTCTCTCACACTCCCCTTCCTCACTAAACATGTTCTGGAGGATTGTGGCTGTTTCCTCTCTAGGGGCGGGTAACCTGCAACCATTGTTAAGGTGATGGTAGACCCCCCATAATGTGCACCAGCTGATTTACCCTGCTACTGCTTTGACATTTAAGTGTATAAAAAAAAAAAAAAGAAGATTCAACAAACCCACCCATACTATTAATGTAATTCCAAAAGTAAAACTCCACAGCATATATTCCTAAGTCTTAGACCTAAGCCTTAATACTGACTCTTGACCAACAGACAGACATTCAGACCCTCCTCCAGGAGATTGAGCAACAAATATGTCATGACTATTCACAGACTGCTATGTCAAAGCTTTTTGTTGGAAAGTTTATTGGAAGGAAGAAGTCTGGTTAGAAAATGTTCCCAAAACTGGAATAAATACAACCTTGAAAGGATTGATGCAAAACTCCTTCAAGGGTTTGAAGATTGCCAAGGAATAGACAGACACGTATATGACTTTCAGAGTCCATGTGCCGCAATACGCCAGAGGATGACTGGAGTTCTGGATGCTTGAGTTGGAAAAACTGTTTCCAAAGTCACTATGGACTTCACCAGGAACTCTTTAATCACTTTGTTCATTCCTCAAAGGTTCATGAAGACTTTTACACGTTTTTTTTAACAGTAATGAGCATCTTCTCTATCTATTACATTTATCAATACCCAGTTTGATGGCTATGGTATCACTGTACTTAGTTGACCAAAAATACTGGCTTGCCCTAAACCCATTAAAAATGTACATTCTCTGTAGTTTTAAGAGGGGGGAAGATGGGAAACAGAATTAAACAATGCAGACAAGCTGAGGGTCTCAATCAAAGGAACCCGGACTTCTTGAAAACCGATTACCTCTATAAGCCCCTGTACTAATATTGTAATCTGTCAACCTGACCCCATAGTGAAAACATACACCAGTCATGGACATACTATATTTTTTAACAGCCCATTTTGAAGATTAGCAGAAATGTGAGAAATGTATTCATCTATTTTCTTTAACCAATAACTGAGTAAGAAAAAACTTTTGGAGGATATTCTACAGAGATGCTGTTACTAAATTCAATGCACTTATCAGTACTTTCAATTTCAGATTAGGTACTGCATTTACTAATTTTATGCTATAGTAATTGCTAAAAACTACACTCACCGGCCACTTTATTAGGTACCCCATGCTAGTAACGGGTTGGACCCCCTTTTGCCTTCAGAACTGCCTCAATTCTTGGTGGCATAGATTCAACAAGGTGCTGGAAGCATTCCTCAGGGAGTTTGGTCCATATTGACATGATGGCATCACACAGTTGCCGCAGATTTGTCGGCTGCACATCCATGATGCGAATCTCCCGTTCCACCACATCCCAAAGCTGCTCTATTGGATGGAGATCTGGTGACTGTGGAGGCCATTTGAGTACAGTGAACTCATTGTCATGTTCAAGAAACCAGTCTGAGATGATTCCAGCTTTATGACATGGCGCATTATCCTGCTGAAAGTAGCCATTAGAAGTTGGGTACATTGTGGTCATAAAGGGATGGACATGGTCAGCAACAATACTCAGGTAGGCTGTGGCGTTGCAACGATGCTCAATTGGTACCAAGGGGCCCAAAGAGTGCCAAGAAAATATTCCCCACACCATGACACCACCACCACCAGCCTGAACCGTTGATACAAGGCAGGATGGATCCATGCTTTCATGTTGTAGACGCCAAATTCTGACCCTACCATCCGAATGTCGCAGCAGAAATCGAGACTCATCAGACCAGGCAGGCAATTTCAATGAGCTTGTGCAAATTGTAGCCTCAGTTTCCTGTTCTTAGCTGAAAGGAGTGGCACCCGGTGTGGTCTTCTGCTGCTGTAACCCATCTGCCTCAAAGTTCGACGTACTGTGCGTTCAGAGATGCTCTTCTGCCCACCTTGGTTGTAACGGGTGGTTATTTGAGTCACTGTTGCCCTTCTATCAGCTCGAACCAGTCTGGCCATTCTCCTCTGACCTCTGGCATCAACAAGGCATTTCCGCCCACAGAACTGCCGCTCGCTGGATGTTTTTTCTTTTTCGGACCATTCTCTGTAAACCCTAGAGATGGTTGTGAGTGAAAATCCCAGTAGATCAGCAGTTTCTGAAATACTCAGACCAGCCCTTCTGGCACCAACAATCAAAGTCACTCAAATCACCTTTCTTCCCCATACTGATGCTCGGTTTGAACTGCAGGAGATTGTCTTGACCATGTCTACATGCCTAAATGCACTGAGTTGCCGCCATGTGATTGGCTGCTTAGAAATTAAGTGTTAACGAGCAGTTGGACAGGTGTACCTAATAAAGTGGCCGGTGAGTGTATATTCACTCAAGTTTATTTATGGGTACCTACTGAACAGGTCACCAGTCTATCACAGGCGGTGGTGGAAAAGCACATTTATTTGATTGCTATGCTAAAGTACTTTTTTTGGGTGTCTTTGTTTTTTTTTTGGAGGGGGGTGGGGGGGGATTATAACGTTCATTCTACTACATTTCAAAGTCAAATATTGTACTTTCCACTCCACTCCATTTTAAGGAAGCTGCTAATTATTTCTTCCTTTTAAGGCTCAGCTTAGATTTGTAATCTGCTGGTGCTGTTTTTCTCTCTTGAATGCAGTTTCACCTTGCAAGGAGCAGTGAGTACTTGAGTAGATTTTTGACCAAGCAACTTTTACTTGTAGTAAAGCAAGATTTGACTATGAGTATCAATACTTTTATTCAAGTACTACTGCTGAGTACTTCATCCACCACTGATCACAGGGCAAGTATGTATAAGCATGCCCTCACACCTAAGGAAACCAGAGAAACTAGCCTCAGTTATGTTTTTGGACTGTGGGAAGAAGCCAAAGTACCCAGAGAGAACCCACTCATGCATCGGAATCATTTTTACACAAATTAATAGTTTAATTCAAAAGATAAATAATTTTAGACTTTGCTGTTCATGTTGCACATTTTTCCAGTACTTTATAGTTTTACTCAATGTCATCAAGCTGAGAACCTCTAATTGGTTCTTCCTGATCTGAGAACAGGTACAACAGAATTCAAAGAAGACAAATAAAACACAGTTTAATGCACTTTTACTACAGGAAAACAAAACAAAAAACAGAACATTTTCTTACAGCTGATAATCATGATAATGTGCTCTGTAGCTTAGTGGCTTTTACACTGGAGGAATGTCTCGTAAATCAGATGTTTTTCAGGTCTTACTTACAAAAACGACTCGTGCAGGTATGTAATTTCATTCAGAAAAATAAAAGGCTGCAAAAACACAAAAGGCAACTGCTGTAAGAGCATCACTTAAGCTTTTTACCCTCTGTGAAATGCCCATCAGGGCTGCATCACAGGGAGGTGGAATGTGCTTTCTAGCTTCTGCCAGCTGTCTGGTCCCATCTCAGCAGGCCGGGGCTTCAGTGTTCATCAATCACTCCACATTGGCACACCTTGTAAAAAGTAGTCCAGGATCACTAAGGCGTGATCAAAACACATTCTGCTTCAAGGAGACTCCAAATCTCACAGATTCCTGTCAAGAGCAGTAAAACACAGGGAGGCTGGCGGTCGCATTAAAACGTGCTATAAACTTTAGACTGATAATCAACACCACATTGACACATATCGCCTCGTAAGAAGAAGCCAATTCCTTAGAACACTACTAAATAACTTGTTTAATCTTGTATGTGAAGCAGAAACGGTCATTGTTGAAGGTTCTTGTGCCGTCTTTAAATCTCTGAATGTCTAAAGCAGATGAACAGTGCAGCGATGAGGCCTGGCAAGCGCTGCAGCTTCCATATCTGAGGCAAATATAGTGCTACGGACACCACTGGCAGATCCAGACTGAAAAAGTGTGTCATCACCCGTTTGGGAGACAGATGAGTGAATCCCAGCTCTGGTTCCAAACAACGTTTGGAAACAACGTTGACAAAGGCCTGGGGGGAAAGGCAAGTACAACATGGCAACTTCTCAGTAGCAGAGGCCTTGGCTTAATTCTTAAGGCAAGAACATTGGTGTGGCATAACAAAAACAGCTTATCTCAGTGCAGCTACTTGCTGTGTGTGCAATAACTTTATAGATAGGTTAGACACCAAAGTAAGGATTTTATGGAAACTAGGCAAATAAATACAAATAATTAAAAAAACATTGGTATGTGAGGCACAAGCAGCACACAGCAGTAACAAATCTATTAGAGTTGATACAAGGCATTTACACATCAATAGTGTGGATTAGTTATACTAAAAAGAACACTGATCACGGTCATAAAGTTAGAGGGTGGATCACATTTAGCCAAATAAATGCAGAAAAAAAAAGAAATTTGATATGTTGGAGGTTCAACCACGAGCTGGGATCAGATCAGATTCATGTCTGCATGCTCAATATGCAGTCACGTCAGTCAGAAAACTTAACCAACATTTAAAAATAAACAATTCTGTTTGCAAAAGACTTTACAAAGTTGGGGCTTTACAGCAAGAAAAACGAGTGCCTCTAAAACAGCCAGTATTCAAACTGATGCTTTTATACAAAACAAAACTTGTTAGTAATTATAAGTGGTGCTGGGATGTCTTTCCTTTTTCTGCTTCCAGCATTTATGCAAAGTTGGGCTGTAGTCGTACCAGCTTCACATAATAGCTGTGTGGAAAATTCCTTCAATTATTAGGAAAGTACAAAACATATGCATCCAAATGTAAAATGAGTAACTAAAGGCCCTCTGCTGAATTCTCAAGACTAGAACCATGATTTTTCACACAATAAAACACAATCTGCTGATTCCTTCTGTTTAGATTTAGGTTCTAGAGAAATGGCATGTGCTCCATGTGCAAGATAAATATAGTGGAACTGCAATGTAAAAATATTAAACAACTGTTAAGCATTTGTGTCTTTATAAACATTAAAGGAATATTAGTGTGGCTTAAACTGTGAGATAGAGTGAGAGAACCTAACATGCTTTGTGCTTAAGAAGTGTTGCTTTATGATAGTTTTAACAGGCAGAAAATAAGTCGTTGATGCCCATTCGACAACTTGCTGGATTATTAGCTTCAAACACTGTTGCAGAGCAGATCTTCTTCCGCTTTGCATTAAACCTACACAGACACTTTATTAAAAAAGAGGCATCTGGATCCCACCATAATGTTCGGAAGACTTGCAAAACTCCTTTTGGGAGTCAAATCTTTCTGATGTGTTTTTAAACAATGGACTAAACATAAATATTCTGTGGTAAACAAGACATTTTCACAATATATGATTGATTTAATTTGGGTTGAAGCAACTTCCCTGTCAACAACCTGGAAACTAGCAAAACGTAGAACCAAAAAGAAGGCACAGAGACTTGCTTTCTTTTTATACAGTCCTGTAGAGATAAACTTATCTAGAGGATTTTCTTGAAGATCAGCTCATAATAAGCTGCGTTGGCCTCTATCACTTCCTTTAATGGCTTACTAGTATTGCAGTTAACTTATGACTGAGCCTGCTGTTAACGGCATAAAAAAGTGAGCACAGATGTGTAAAGTGAGGAGGAGGTATGGTTGTTGGGAGCTCAGGAAGGTCAATGAACCTCTGACTGCTGCAGGTGCATGCTGGTTGAGTTGGTTAAGTCGGAGGTCAAGTCTCAAAGTATTTGTAGATGGCTGTGACGTACGTCATGACACTTTGCCAATCGGGTCGCTCTGTGTGAACCATCTCATTAATGTCCTGGAAAAGAGAAGGAGATGGGTTAAACAACAGCAGGAACATGATGGCGACAGATGGAAAGTCTGCTTGTTAAAAACTAGCATAAAAACAAATGAGAGATTTTTTTTTTGCACTTTGTGGTAAAAACCATGTCCTTCCTGCAGGTAAGGTTACCAAGCAACAAAGTCACTTCATCAGTTTCCGGGCAACAGATGTGTTTAACGATGGAGTCTTTATCTTTAGCCTCTGTTATAAGAAATATTTGTTCAAATTCAAAACAAGACAGTTTAAAAAAAACCCATGTCAACTCTTGAATTTACACACAGGCAAAGAAATGAAATAAAAACAGTCAGATAACAGTTTATAATTATAAAAGAACACAAGAGTATTGCTTTGCAGTATGGGATCACAGCCAATACAAGGTAACAATAACATGATATCTTAGAGGGGACAGGGTATTATTTCTTACCCAAAATAATATGTTTAGGAAGATTATTATGCAACATAAAAATAAAGCCTCAGCATATTTTTTTTATATATATAAATCTATATATATATATAGATATATTTGCTGTAAACTACTGCAAGTTACTTGGGGTACGTCTGTATCAGTTTTGAACATTGAATGACTGAAAGTTTTGCCCATTTTCCCACAACAGCTTGGGCTCAGTGAGGTTGGATGAAGATCGTTTTTGAACAGCAGTTTCTTTCGGTCTGGACTTTGACTTTGCCAATATAACACCTGGATATGTTTATTTGTGAACCATAACAGTGTAGATTTTGCTTTATGTTTTGGATCATTGTCTTGTTGTAAGATAAACATCCAGAATGGTCCAGTATTTGGCCCCATCCATCTTCCCGGTCTCTGCTGAAGCAAAGCAAAAAAGCTGTGGCTTTGGTTTCATATCACCAGAGCACATTCTTCGGCATGTTTGGTGTCTCCCAGGTGGCAAACTTTAAACAAGACCTTTTATGCATATCCCTAAGACATGGCTTTCTTCCTTAAAGGCCTAATTTTTGCAGTATATGACTGATTGTTGTCCTGTGGACAAAGTGTTTTTCCTCATCTCTGCAGCTCATCCAGAGTGATCATGAGTCTCTTGGCTGCATCTCCGATCAGTCGTATTGTTGTGAGCTGAAAGTTTGGAGGGACAGCTGGGTCTTTGTAGATTCACAGTGGTCTGATACTCGGATTTAAACTTCTCTACACCATATCTTGCACCTGCTTGGAGTGGATGCTCTGAACTTTAAACAGACCTCTGAGATTGTCACAAAGTGATGCATTTTCACAGAGACTCGATTACACAGAGGAAGAATCCATTCTATTCATCATCTATCATTTAAGTAAACATTTGATCATTCAGAGATCCTAAATGAACTTCTGCAGTGAAAGTAAAAGGGCAGATTAATTTTGCATGCCACACTCTTCAGTTTTATTAGTTCAAGTTTAAAATATCCAATTAATTCCTTTCGACTTCATGACTGCATCCCACGTTATTGATTCTTCACAAAAAATGACAATTTTATGTCTTTATGTTTGATGCAAAGGTTGGCGAAAGCGGGTGAATACTTTCGCAAGCCACTTGCAAAAGTTCAAGGGCGACAGTGGCATCGGGTGCATGAGTTTTCCCTGCAATTAGAGGGTTGTCAGTTTGAGCCCCGGCTCTGGCTTTCAGTGTCGTCGTGTCCTTGGGCAAGACACATCACCTGCATTGATGGTGGTCAGAGGGCCGAGTGGCACCAATGTTCTGCCGGCTACAATGTAGTTTGCCACCATCAGTGTGAGTTTATGCATGAATGGGGGAATTTAGTGTAAAGCGCAATACAAGTACAGGCCATTTACCATACATAGAATTACAACAAACATAAATTCAGGGAAAAGCATGTCAACAGAGCTTACCAATGTGCATTTAATGCCGACACTCTCTGCAGCTTGGAAAGCTAAGGTGAAGTTTCTCCTCTGAGAATAAAAGTTAATATTTTAGTTCACAAATAGAAAATGATAATAGAAAATGTACAAACAAGTGGAAATCTGCTTGCCTTGTCCTGGCTTGTGAGCTCGTGGTAAGGGATGTGTGCAGGCAGATAGGTGTGCAGCAAAGCGCAGAAGGCTAAGCCATCATTCCAGCTGCTGCTGAAGTTGGTGATATCGATATTCTACAGTGATTGACAGACAAACTTTGATTAGACTGACTGATGGAAAAAGTTTTTCTTTACAACATAGGCGCCACAGTGCAGCTTTTTCTTATTACTTTTAATTAAATATTCCCATGATGACTTCTGCTGCCATAGATATTTATAAAATTATATATTGACAGAAAACAGAAACTTGGACTGGTAACAGAGGTCCATGGATCAATAGAATTCACTCTATCAATTATTGTCCTGGTATTTAAAACGGAAAAATAATAGACCTCCAGCAATCACTGACATTTCATATACCGGTAATACCATGTGCTATTCTCTGCAAATCAAACCTATCATCTTCTTAGTATGTGGTAACCAAGTGTTTTTGTCAGGTTACTAAAGAGATGTGCTTAATGTTACACACTTCCTGGAAAGAACTGAGGAACCCATGGTAACCACAACCTTTGTACCTTCAACATTAAAGAAAAAGGCCTTTGTGACACCTCCCAAGACATCCTGACATCATTCTCACACTATAATGGAACATTTTTAGTGTTCAGTCCTCCAACTCAAGCTTATTCTGCTTATTCTTATGCCTATCTCACGCAGTCTATGGGCGAGAGGCGTGGCACGCCATGCATGGGTCGCCATTCTGTTGCAGGGCAACACAGAAACACAAACACACATATAACCATGCACATACACACACATTTAAGGACAATTTAGAGCCGCCAATTAACCTTAGAGACTTAGACAACCTTTATTGTCATTCTTTATACACAGAGTGTATAAAAAACAAATTTTAATTTAGTTCAGCTTTCCAGGCAGTAGGTGAACATTTCTATTCCAAGTGCAGCAGTGATAAAATGGAAACAGTGTGGGAGGAACAAAAAGAAAAAAGACATGGTGCAAAGAAACGCATTGATATGAAAGTTCAGAGCATTAATATATATGGTGCAAATATGCAGTGTTTTTCGTTTTGGTGTTATCAGTGTGATGCAGAGTCTGTGATATAATTTAGAGTTTTTTCAACAGTTCAGCAGTCTGATGGCGGTGGGGAAGAACTTTTGCAGAATCTGATGGACCTGCATCTAATGCGGCAAAGCCTGTTCCAGAGGGCAGCAGAGAGAAGTCCATGGTGGGGTGTGAAGGGTCCTTGAAGATGTTACTGGCTCTGGACACACAGCGCTGGGATGAAATGTCTTATATGGAGGGAGGAGGAGCCCGATGATCCTCTCTGCTGTTCTCACCACTCTTCTCACTTTCTTCCAGTCTGAGGCGCTGCAGCCTCCGCACCACACAGTGAGACACCTGGTCAGAATGTGCTTTATGGTGCTTCTGTAGAAGCTGGTGAGGAAGGATGGGGGCAGGTGGACTCTCCTCATCCTCCGCAGGAGGTACTATCGCCACTGTGCCCTTTTGATCAGTGAGGTGGTGTTCATAGTAAAGTTGAGGTTGTCTGTGATTTGCACCCCCAGGAATCTGGTGCTGCTGACCACCTCTACATCTAAGCTGCTAATGACCAGTGGAGCGTGGTTAGGCCGGTTCTTTCTGCAGTCAACGATGATCTCCTTCGTCCTCTCCACGTTCAGGATCAGGCAGTTATCTCTGCACCTCCTCTCAGTAGTCCAGGTCTTTGTCATCTCTGATGAGGCCCACAACTGTGGTCTCGTCTGCAAACTTCACGATGTGATTGGTGGTGAACTTGGGGACGCAGTCGTGTGTCAACAGAGTTAACAGTAGTTAACAGGACGCAGCCCTGAGGGGAGCCTGTGCAGCTCTAGCAGCAGATTGCAGAGGGGTGTATGGAAGCCCAGCTGTTCCAGTTTTCCTATCAGATGCTGAAGTCTGCATACACAGAGATAGCCTGGTATAGAGTCTTCATTGCCTCTTTTGTATTAGCACTGGGAGGCACATATACAGCAGTAATGCTAACCACATTGAATTCTCTGGGCAGATAGAATTGTCTGCAGTTAACAGTCCTGAGCTATCTCTATAGTTATCCTGCTATAGGCTTAGATTACTGGAGGACATAGGGACCCCTATTTCTTCATTCTATCTCTATTCTCCCACTCTGCAGAATCTGTTAGTTCAATCTCTAATGTTATGCTCTCTCTGTTTTTTTCCTCATAGTAAATTTTCCTCGACTCTTCCTGTTTGGCTGTGACTTCATCCTGGAGAGAAATATCAGCTGTGCTGCTGCCATCAACACCGAGTCTGGTTCTACTCGAGGTTTCTTTCTGTTAAAAGGGAGTTTTTCCTCTCCACTGTTGCTACAAGCATGCTTAGTGTGAGGGATTGCATTCGAGTCAATGAGTCAATGCAATCAACTGGTTTGAGATTACATTTGTTGTGAATTGGTGCTATATAAATAAACTGAATTGAACAGTCAGAAACTCAATGTCTTGAGAGCAGAATCTGGCGACCCATCTACTCATGTTTTTAACCTACCACTCATGTTTTTGAACCTTTAGGACCAGTTAGGGCTCCATGGAGGAGGACCCATCCAAAGCATCCCATGCATGCTTGGGGATAATATGTAAACTGCGTAGAGAAAGACCCCAGGCTGGAATTAAACCCAGAATCTACTAAGCCCCATGTGTAATGTTATACTTGATGTGGATTTGGACTGATACCAATTACCTGGATGTAGAAAACTCCAAGAAAAAAAATACACCCCTAACAAAAAGGACAAGACACAATCAGCTGTCTTCCAGCAATATTGGTTACAATAGTTGCCATTCAAAATTTCCTCACTTTCCTTGATGGGCCCTTGGCTGGTCCCCCACAATTCCCTTTTAAACATCAATATGTGTACTAAAATATTCTGTCATGATTTGTGGACATTAGGATCTAAAGAGAAGCGTTATCTCCTGGTCAGACCCTGTAATTCAGTGAAAGGGTGAAGTCAGAGTTAAAAAATATGCACGCCCAGGAGAAGGCCAGTGGCTGGAGGTTGGAGGGGATTTTGCTGGTTGCTGCAGGGAAGTGGGCTGCCATCTGGCTGGCGTTTGATTAGGAAGGGCCATTTTGAAAGGCTGCTACTGTATATTGTTATACAAAAACCTGTAAGAAGTTTGAGTATTGCACTGCCATTTTGTTGCTAGTCAGTTTAGTTGGGACATCTATTAAGACAACATCCAGGAGAACTTAAATCTACATATGAGGTGTGATTTTCAGTTTCACTTCTTCTTTGAAGTTACAAAAAGTGACTACATAATGCAAACAAGCTTACAAATGCAACCTCTGTTGATTTTGTACTAATCACTAGGTATAGCTGCCTAGTTCCAGAAAGGATTACGAGGCTACCTACTACAGGTGCAGTTACTTATCTTCTTTTAGGCTTTAAGCATATTGTTTCATTCCTGCTTTTATCCTGTGATGGCAGCAGTCATTTCTTGGGGTCTAGTATGTTGGAGCAGTAGCTGATCTATAGCTGAGAGGAAGCGGATAAGCTCATTAGCAAAGCCAACTATGTGCTTGGATGCCCCCTCCATCTGGTGCAGGTGATAGGAGGCATTAGGACTCCAGCTAGCTCCATGTCTTATCCCCCTTACATGATTTACCAAACACTAATTTAGCTCAGATCAAGTTCAGGCTTGTTACCTGATAACCTTCAGTCTTTTTTTGGCACCACTTCAGCAAAGCATTTCTCTTGGATCCCCCATATTCCCTGGCCAGCGCTGACAATGGATCCTTTCTCTCCTCCCTGTTAGAGAGACATAGAAGAGACAAATAAGCGGGAAAAAGATTCCCTGAGCCAGAATGAGTGCTACCGCAGGTCATTCATTCCGGATGCCATCAGACTTTAATATGCGGCACTATAACTGGAATAACTTGTGCAATAATTAATGTGTAATTACTATTTAATACCCTGTGTAATAACCTGTTTTATACTTTATATTTAATACCCAGTGCAATAAATATATATATAAATACCCATTTACTGTATATAAACACCCATTTAGAACCCTGTGCAATAACCCTGTATAATAATCCTGTTAAATAATAATGCAGACAAAACAGAAGTTATAGTCTTTGGACCAGAGTCTCTGAAAAAGAAACTGATTAGCCAGTCACTTCATTTGGATGGGATTAAACTGATTTCAGATAATAAAGTAAAAAATCTTGGTGTTATTTTTGATCAGGACCTGTCATTTAAATCCCATATCAAAGAGGTTTCTAGAATTTCCTTCTTTCATCTGAGGAACATTGCAAAAATTAGAAATATCCTGTCCAGGGGTGATGCTGAGAAACTAGTCCATGCATTTGTTACTTCAAGGCTGGACTATTGTAATTCTTTACTATCAGGAAGTCCACAAACTGTAGTTAAAAGCCTTCAGCTGATCCAAAATGCTGCAGCCAGAGTTCAGATGAAAATTAAAAAGAGAGATCATATCTCTCCTATCCTGGCTTCTCTTCATTGGCTTCCTGTTAAATCAAGAATAGAATTTAAAATCCTCCTTCTCACATATAAAGCCTTAAATGGCCAAGCTCCATCTTATATCAGAGATCTGATTGTTCCTTATGTTCCTAACAGAGCACTTCGCTCTCAATCTGCAGGTTTACTAGTGGTTCCTAGAATTTCTAAAAGTAGAATGGGAGGCAGATCTTTTAGTTATCAGGCTCCTCTCCTGTGGAACCAACTACCAGTTTTAGTCCGTGAGGCAGACACCCTGTCTACTTTTAAGGCTAGGCTTAAAACTTTCATTTTTGATAAAGCTTATAGTTAGGGTGGCTCAGGTTATCCTGAGCTATCTCTATAGTTATGCTGCTATAGGCTTAGACTTTTGGAGGACATAGGGACCCCCATTTCATCATTCTGCTTCATTCTCTCTCTGTTCTCCTATTCTGCAGAATCTGTTAGTTCAATCTCTAACCTTCTGCTCTCTCTGCTTTTCCTCAGAGTAGCTTTGCCTCGTCTGTTCCTGTTTGGCTGTGACGTCATCCTGGAAAAAAACATCAGCTGTGCTGCTTCTATCAACACCCTTGTTAATAGATGTTGGAGATCGGCCTGTTTTCCAGTGTGGTCCTGTTTCTCTGACCGTGACTGAGTGGATGTGCTCTCTTCGTCCTCTGGCATGGGAGCTGCCTTGGAGCTCGTCTGCCTGGCTGTGTGTTTCCTGGACGGGGCCGCCTTTTACAGCTGCTTTTTGTATCTCTGCTTCTGTCTCCTTGAACCCCAGTCGGCCTCGGCAGATGGCCGCTCACACTGAGCCTGGTTCTGCTGGAGGTTTCTTCCTGTTAAAAGGGAGTTTTTCCTCTCCACTGTCGCTACAAGCATGCTTAGTGTGGGGGATTGTATTTGAGTCAATGAGTCAATGCAATCAACTGGTTTTCCTTAGATAGAAAACTTTGTATCAATTTGACTGTATGATCTGGTTGAACTGTAAAGTGCCTTGAGATGACATGTGTTGTGAATTTGGCGCTATATAAATAAACTGAATTGAATTGAATTAAAAAAGAGACTTCAGCTGTTATATATATATATACACTATATTGCCAAAAGTATTTGCTCACCCATCCAAATTATTGGAATCAGGTGTTCCAATCACTTCCATGGCCACAGGTGTATAAATTCAAGCACCTAGGCATGCAGACTGTTTTTACAAACATTTGTGAAAGAATGGGTCGCTCTCAGGAGCTCAGTGAATTCCAGCGTGGAACTGTGATAGGATGCCACCTGTGCAACAAATCCAGTCGTGAAATTTCCTCGCTCCTAAATATTCCACAGTCAACTGTCAGCTGTATTATAAGAAAATGGAAGTGTTTGGGAACGACAGCAACTCAGCCACGAAGTGGTAGGCCACGTAAACTGACGGAGTGGGGTCAGCGGATGCTGACGCGCATAGTGCGAAGAGGTCGCCAACTTTCTGCAGAGTCAATCACTACAGACCTCCAAACTTCATGTAGCTCAAGAACAGTGCGCAGAGAGCTTCATGGAATGGGTTTCCATGGGCGAGCAGCTGCATCCAAGCCATACATCACCAAGTGCAATGCAAAGCGTCGGATGCGGTGGTGTAAAGCACGCCGCCACTGGACTCTAGAGCAGTGGAGACGCGTTCTCTGGAGTGACGAATCGCGCTTCTCCATCTGGCAATCTGATGGACGGGTCTGGGTTTGGCGGTTGCCAGGAGAACGGTACTTGTCTGACTGCATTGTGCCAAGTGTAAAGTTTGGTGGAGGGGGGATTATGGTGTGAGGTTGTTTTTCAGGAGCTGGGCTTGGCCCCTTAGTTCCAGTGAAAGGAACTCTGAATGCTTCAGCATACCAAGACATTTTGGACAATTCCATGCTCCCAACTTTGTGGGAACAGTTTGGAGCTGGTCCCTTCCTCTTCCAACATGACTGTGCACCAGTGCACAAAGCAAGGTCCATAAAGACATGGATGACAGAGTCTGGTGTGGATGAACTTGACTGGCCTGCACAGAGTCCTGACCTCAACCCGATAGAACACCTTTGGGATGAATTAGAGCGGAGACTGAGAGCCAGGCCTTCTCGTCCAACATCAGTGTGCGACCTCACAAATGCGCTTCTGGAAGAATGGTCAAAAATTCCCATAAACACACTCCTAAACCTTGTGGACAGCCTTCCCAGAAGAGTTGAAGCTGTTCTAGCTGCAAAGGGTGGACCGACGTCATATTGAACCCTATGGATTAGGAACGGGATGTCACTTAAGCTCATATGTGAGTCAAGGCAGGTGAGCAAATACTTTTGGCAATATAGTGTATATCTCAATAAAGTCAATCCATCACAAACATCCTATGTGAAGGTCCACAGTAGTTCTATGAGCCAAGAGCATCTCTATTCAGAAGTGTGTGAGATTATTTGAATGCATAAATTCTGATTCATCAGGTAGTTTCAAACATTGAGCCCTAGTTACCACGATGTCAAGTAGCCCCTTTGAACACATCCTATGTTTACTCCTAGCACATGACATGATGCCGTAAGCTGTGGTACCTGAGGCGGCTGCGGGCTGTGGGTGTGATAGAAGCTGTGGGGGAGGAAGAGGACAGGGAGAGTGGGGAGGAAGCAGCACTCATGGCCATAAGGGAAGTGGAGGAGGCCCCATCTGAAGCCGTTATGTCCCTCTTGATTTCCTCGCTGCTCCTGCGCGACACTACAATAAAAGATTAGAGGCTCAGTTTTAAAAACTGACTTATGGTAAAAGATAAATAAATCAACTAACATCACTAACCTGAAACAGCCTTGGTGGAGTCCATTTTGGAGACCCTCTGAAGGACAGGAGGTGTGCGGCTGGTTGGGGCCCCTCTGAGGAGGTGGTCAGCTGTCGGCACATAACATTGACACCAAAAGATTTTATGACGAACTTCTGCTGGAAGTGGATGTCGGGGGGGAGTCACTGTGAGTTCATGGAATGCCGACTAGCTCACCAAGAAAACAATAAATCATTGAAGAAGTAAACAAACATCACAAACTATGGTCAAGATTGCACGTTCACACAAAACACTTGAGCCCATTAGAGTTGAGAATCAACAGAGGGAAGCAAACTTCCTATCACCGTCCTATCATCCACTATACTGCTAAACACAAACCATAATCTCAAGAGAAAAGCAGTCCTGTTTATATCAGATGAGAGTAAATGATCAATCCCAGCTTATTTCCAGGATGACATATCATCATGGCCAAAGCATTAACTGTGTTTTAATCACTGCCATGAACACAGGTTTATAAAATCAAGCAGACAGGCATGCCCACTGTTCCTGCAAACATTTGTGAAAGAATGGGTCGCTCAGGAGCTCAGTGAATCCAAGAGTGGTACCGTTATAGGATGCCATGTAGTAGAAGGCGATGGAAACGAACGGTTCAGTGGTTGCTGATGCAAAAAGTGTTGTCAACTTTCAGCAATTCTTTCAGAACTCCAAACATCATGTAAACTTTAGATTAGCTCCAGAACAGAGCCATACATCACCAAGAGCAATAGTATACAGCACACTCCCACTGGAAATGCAGCTGAGGTGCGTTCTGTGGACTCTCCTATCTAGCAATGTGATGGATGAGTCTGGTTTGCTTGTTGCCTGGAGAACAGTAGTTGCCGGTAGACTGTACCTCGCAGACCTTAACGTTGGGTGGTGGGGATTATGGTGTGGGCTTGTTTTCCAGGAGCCGGTCCTTTCCGTTTTGTCCCATTGAACTGAATGCTTCAGCACATCAAGAGACAGTCTGGACAACCCCACGGGGCCAATTTTGTGAAAACATCTTCCAATATCTTTTTAGTGCTACAGAAAGCAAGGTCCTGAATGATGAGGATGTGAGGGTTTGGTATGATTAACTTGATTTGCCACCAACATCCTCACCTAAACCAAAACACCTTTGATATAAATCAGATCAAACACTGGGAGTCAGGCCTTCATCCTCAAACACAAATGCTATTCAGAAAAAGGGTTTTAAAAAATTCCATAAACTCCTTGCTCCTTAAACTCCTTAAACAGGTTACCTTGCAAGAGTTTCAGATGAGTTTAACCTGTTATAGCTGCAACCTGATGAACGCTACATTGACCTTTTTGAATTAAGAACAGGATGTCATTTAAGTCCACCTGCAATTCAAGGCTGGTGAGAAAATCCTTCATTAGGCTTTGCCACCATTTAAGAATGATTAGGATCTGGACTTATACTGGAGCATTTAAATACAGAAATGATTATACTATTTAGCTCCAGTAGTTACCCTGCAATCACCACATCATAATGCTGTCACCACTTTGTTTTATTACAGTGAAGCTATAAGCCTTAAAAAAAGCTTATAGCTGTATTAATTACATTTCCTAATAGCTAAAATGCAGAATATTGCCTGATGTTATAGGGGTATCAAATGCACATGGAGCTTATTTACCTGGCATGGTTATGTCTGTGTAGCTAGGTCTCTTATCACTCAAGGATGAAAGGGGTTTGGTCCCGGAGATAGACCCAGCTATAGAGTGCCTCTGAAAAAACAAACAACAAAAACACTTTAAAACAATTTTACCAGAGAAAGCAAAGCTTTCTAAAAATTTAGATTGTTGCTTTAGAAAAACAATGCAGACTTTAGTTTTCTTATTTTGGTACAAACATGGAAGATATGTTTAACAGATTGAATAACTAGTTAACAAGTGACTGCTGCTGAAAAAGGAAAGCATAAAATGAAAACTATTTAACCATAGGACAGTATGGGTAAACATATTTTTTACAAAAATTATAGATTTTTAGATTAGAATGTATGCTTTTATAAGCTTGTTGCTGTTTTATCTAAACAAGAACTGGTTGCTGGTGTTGGCGAATCTTCTCTAAAACAGCCAAAAATGACACATGTAGGCAGAAAAATATACATATGACCCAACTAACATTTGGATAAATGTTGTAAAGCAGGCTTGTTTTAAACTGAGCCCTTTTATAACCTGTTTGCACTTTTTCAACAGCATGAAGGTCACAACGTTAATGACCTCTTTTATCCATTTCAGCCCTTTCTGTTCCAGTTTCAGTATTTCAGTAAAGTAATTTCCCTCTGGGATTATTAAAGTATTTCTGATTCAGTATCACAGAGCATCTTTGGCATCATGTCCCTTTGAAACGAATCAAATTTGTTGAAGTTATAACCATTTTACTCACAGAAGTTGAATAATCCTTCCACTCAGGATAAACACAAGTTAACAGCAATAATTAAAAGTCCTAGCATTATAACATTTACAGCATTGACTGTAAGCTACAACATCTTAGAAGAATCTGACTTAGTCCTTTTTTTTATATATTTCTATTCTTATATATATATAATAATTTATTTAATCTAAAATAATCTCACTGTAATGTTGGAATTAATCTAGATTAAAATCGCTCATTTGAATTCTGCCAAAGGCCTTCAGGATATTTGTGTGCTACCTCCAGAATTAAAAAGAAAATGTTTACTTTTCTATGTTTGTAAAATCACAGGTAATTTCATCTTCTTACCGTATTTTCACGACCATAAGGCGCACCGTACTAAAAGGCGCAGTCTCAGTTATGTGTCCCATTTCTGTATTTAACACACACATAAGGCGCACCGGACTATAGGGCGCATTTTTTATATACAGGTACATGTCCTCTACTACCTTTAAATAGCTCTACTGCGTATTTTAAAAATACAGCGGGCCCAAAACTGAGTATGACTGTGCTTTATTCATGTATTTATTACAAATTAATCAAACCTGCGTGCTTGCCATGAGACAGACACATCGCAGATGACACAGCGCTGTGATTACTCCTAAATTAACTTAAAATCCTGAAACCTGCCGACGGAATATGTTCGCTTTTATTGCCTGTATCCTGGTGCCTGCACTGTAAATTATTTAGATGAAAAACACCTGCCAGCCGCCGTGTGAGGCTGCTGTTGAAGGGATTTACTGTCGGTGTACCGCTGGTATGTGGCGGTCCGAGCGCCTCCGACAGAAATAGATAATCTGGATGAACTGACTGCAATTAAGTTTTCAGGTGGCCTTTCTCGCTTAAAAACATATTAAAACTACTTTATTCCCACTGATCACAGCAAATATAGCTGCAAGATTTAGATTATTTAGATGAAAAAACACCTGCCAGCCACCGCGCTGAAGAGGAAGAGACCCGCCCAGAGGCTGCTGTTGAATTAAGTTTTCAGGTAGAAAAATAGAGCGGGAGCAAAACTGAGTATGTTTGTGCTTTATTCATGTATTTATTACAAAGTATTAATCAAACCCATCAAAGTCATCATCCTCTGTTTCTGAATTAAACAGCTGCGCTAAATCAGACATGCCAATTTCCCATTCTTCGCTGTCAGTCACTTTCCGTGCAGCGCGGCTCCTCAGAAATAATGCCGGCTTTTGCGAAAGCTTGAACAATAGAGCCAGCAGACACTTTAGTCCAAGCATCTACAATCCATCCGCAAACGGTGGCGTAACTTGCCCGCTGCCTTCCACTTATCCTGAAACTGTGCTCTCCGTCTGTCATCCATCGCTCCCACGCCGCTCACAGCCTTACTTTGAACGGCCGCTTTCACACCGATGTCGAGCGCTTGAAGTTCCTTTGTCAGACCCCCGGGATAACGGCGAGCACAGCGTTCATTTGATTCATCTTTTTTTTTCACATCGGCTGTGAGATGGGCACGCAGCGATGGTGATGCGTGGAAAAAAGCACCTGGTCTCCTCACATACACCTGCCTTTCATCATCTCCCCAGCCCGTTTCATTTGCATTAATATCATATGTCATCAGAGCGCTGTGTCTGTCTCGCTGTCAGCTCCCAGATCAGCTTCTCTGATTGGTTGATGCGGCGCGTCCAGCAGCAAAACTTCAATTTTTCCATCTCGAGCAGCAGCAGCGCGTTGGCGGCGCGCTCCCGACGCGCTGCACCTGCAGCTCAAAACGCGCTGCAGGACCTTTTGCTGCACCTATACGCGCGTCAACCATTGACTTTGCATGTAAACTCGCTGCTTCTGCTGCACCTGCTGGGTCCGGTTCACACCGATGTCCAGCGGTTGAACAGCGAGCACAGGGTTAATTTGTTTCCCCATGTTTTTCACATCAGCTGTGAGATGGGCACGCATGGAGTTACATATTAACAGCGATGGTGATGAGTGGAAAAAAACACCTGGTCTCCTTACATTCAGCCACTCTTTCATCATCTCCTCAATGAGGTGGTCTCAAAAGTCGCAGTTACAACACACATAAGGCGCACCGCACATTTTGAGGGAAAAAAAAGACGTTTAAGTGCGCCTTATAGTCGTGAAAATACGGTACTTAAGATTGTGACAAAGTTATAAATACTTTTTTTGCTCATTTGTTACTGTGTTTTTGCAGCACAAAATAGTGTCCCACTTTGAGCGGCTTTCTCCGCGGCCTGCTGGTCATCTATTTTCCTCATGACAGTTCGTCTTGCAGGTAGTTTGTAAGATAGGTCACCTGTTGCCGCCTGGAGAAGAAGCTCGGGCTGGCAGCTTGTGGCTATACACTGAACAAGGAAATTGGTTAGCTTGGCTGATAGAGCTGTGCTTATAGCTGCACGTCACATTAGTTGTGGTAATTTCACGGTACACCTACACAGGTTGGAAGACTGATTTGTTCTCGCTCCCAGATATACATCCGTGCTAAATATCAAGGTGAAAGTGATCATTAACACAGACCCAGCTCCCAAACAAACTGTGAGAGTACATTAACATCAATATTTTTTAAATAAAATGCAGATAACGGCCCACCACTACAAATTATCTTTAAAATTTTTCGATGGAACTTCTTTGAAACACAGAGGAAACATCACTGCTCCCAACTTGAGGTCAGGTTTTATATATATATATATATATATATATATATATATATATATATATATATATATATATATATATATATATATTCCACTAAATTAATACTAACAATATTTATGGAAAAAAGGGAAAATCAGGGTACTTCTAGAGATAAAAATGTCAGCACCATAATAATCCAAATTGATTTTTTCCAGCACCTGCATAGGTGAAACAGCAGCTGCTGGAGGCGTCTTCATGGGACTGGGGCTTAGGGGGGTCCGAGGTAAGGGAGTAGCTGAGACCGTGGGAGCAACTGTGGCTCCATTAGACGGTGGACCTACAGAAACAGTTTGCAATTCAAATAACACATTTATTAAAATTGCATAATTGTGCCACAGGACAAGATAAAAAAGTTTATTCCAACAATAATAAAATGAAAAAACATGAAACATTGACACACACTAGCTACTATTGCTGCAAATGGTGACATCAACCAACATGAAAAGAACAGAGCATCTCTAACTGCTGTGGTACCTTGTGAGGCACTATCAAAGCTCTTGATGAGTGTTTTAACGGTGGGCGACGGCTCAGAGGATGTGGAGGATCTCCGACTGAGACCCATCCCCTGTCTAAGCGCTGCCAGGTCCCTCTCCACTGCATTCATGTAGTTGTAGACTCTGCCTCTCTCCTCCTCCTGCCTGAAAAACCAACGGCACTCTGCTGAGCTGACACACACAGATCTACACAGCTGATACACGTAATAAATAAAAAAAGATCATGTGGCCTGTTCTTGGTCGCCCTGACATGATTTGTCAGTGTGACCAGAGGATCTCCTCAAAATGTCGACCCGTTGCTCTTACTTGCGGCTCTTGACCTCGTCCAGCTCTTTGCTAAGCTTCTCGTTCTTCTCCTGGGCGTCCTGCAGCCGGCGCCGCAAGTCTCCTATCTCTTCCTGTGCTTCTGACTTGATGTCATTAGCTATGACCACAGCTGTCTGCAGATCGGCCTGAAACTGACGCCACTCCATTGACTCCTCCTGGACATTAGCAAGCAAGAAAGGATAAGCAGCTAGAAATTGGCCAAGGTGACTATTCAGGCAAAGAAGGATTATCTTAAACCCTTGTGAAGTTTATATGACAACAATGAATACAGCAGTATAAGTGAAGGTTCTTCACACCGATTGTTTTAAATCATGTCAAGCCATTTTCATTTTTTTTTTTCCGAACTGGTCCAAATCTGCAGCTTTTTAAAGTTTTAGTCTAAATCTATGCTCAGGTGGTCTAGGTAAGGTAGCTCTTGCAAAGCAAGTCACTTAGGAAGGAAGCCTGTAGGGGAGGAAAGTCCTCCAAGGCAAAGAAGAATTAGAGGAACCTTTGAAGTGAGAACCAGAATTTGGTTCACACATTTTACAAGCAATTTATTTTTGTTGAGTGGTTAACTCTGAAGAAAATAAATAGATGTTAATACATAAATAAAATCAATAAGAAAGGTCAATAAAGATAGGGTGACCAAACGTCCGTATTTCCCGGGACATATCCATATTTTATGTCCTGTTCCAGGCGTCCCGGGTTTTTTTTTTAGAAAGTGAGGAAATGTCCTGATTTTTTTAATTACCTTAATTGGACCATTAAATTTACAGGCGCCAGGGCACTGCACACGATGCTGCGTGTGATGTAATCTCAGAGCCGCGTCAGTGCAGGCAGCCCTGTTCTTAATCAGAATATAGATTGCGTGGCTGTCAGTACGCCAACAACATGCAAAAGCGTAAATGTATGTTTACCGACGATTTACAAAAGAGTTTCCCCGCTTTCAGACTTGGTCGAGACAAACGGGAGGCCTTGAGCACAGTGTGCAAAGCAGGCACATATGTCTCGGTGTCCAATGGAGGTGCAAGGAATCTGAAAAGCCACCCTGACACCGAAAGTAAAGATAGTCTATTGATATGTTTGTTCGTTTTTGGTACATTTTGAATAATTTTTGCTACACAAGAGGTATTTTTTGTTAATTAGCTCATTTGTTAATTAATTTTTTCCAATAGCCTACAGAACAGACATTATTTCGTTCATTGCTGAGGCGGAGTATCATCTGTTATTGGGAGTTGAGAGTTATTGTTAACTTTTATTGTTAAGTGAGGGATGTTTAGATGAGACATTATTTCTTTCATTGTGCTATTCATTCATTACAGGAATTGTTAAGCATTTTTAATAAATACATTTTGAATGAAATTATCGTTTGTTATTGGTGTTATTGCTGTTGACTTTTACTGAAAAGCATTTTTAATAAATCAACTGTAAATATCATGTTATTGTAGGTCTATTTATGGTCACCCTAATAAAGAGGTTAGAATAATTAACAAATATTATTCATCTAGAATGAATAATAGAACTAAAATAATTAATTCCAGATGCTCGCATCGCCTTTCTTTCATACATAAAAATTGACTCCACTCGAGTTAAATAATATTTTCTATCACTATAGCTCATTATTTGGGTAAAGTCGCTCCATAATTTATCTACAAATGTAATACCAGTGGGTGTTTTGGAGACAGACAACAGAGACAGGTTTGCAAAAATTTAAAAAGCCATGAATTTGTCAAACTTACCAAATATGTGGTTAAGTTGTTACAATTACTTTAGGATCTGTTGGTTTAAATGCAGATTAGCACAGCTGTATGATTTAAAGAAACTATGAGTTCAGATTGGTGGATAATTCAAACTCAATGCTGTGAATATGTACCTGCAGGAATAAAACCTTTATCTATATATATTTTTTAATACTCATAATATTTGTTTTAACTAATCTAACATAAATGAAATAACATCCTTCTCAGTTACACCCATTTGATAATGTAAAAAGGTATTCGACGCTACTTAGCTGTTAGCTGAATTTGTTTGCAGACTACTTGATAGGTTTGAGTATCAAATCTTCTCTTTACCCTGAGTCTTCGTTGAAGAGTCTTTATCTCTCTCTCCATGTCGTGCTTCTGGTCTTCCAGTTTTTTCACAGAATCTAAAAAAAAAAAAAAAAGAAAAAAAAGAAAGACAATTTAACTTTAGAGAAAACATCTAAGGTCATCAGATATATTTTCTATAATTTTATAAAAAGCACATTCAAAATAGAAAGTTAAGTCAGACTGGCATAGAACATTGAATATGAGCAAACAAAATCCCATTGGTTTTCTGATGATACTTTCTCAATAATTACTAGCTGACATGAGGCTGCCCTGAAACTTGATTAACACTACAGCAGCACCTTCTGCTTCCAGCCACTTACTCTCCAGATCGGAGATGATCAAGTTGTCGTGAAGTTTTAGAGCTCGGTGCTGTTCTACTTCGTCTTCCAGTTCAAAGATGGTTTCCTTCATGTCTGCTATCTCAGTCTCTTTCTCCTGTAGCTCCGCACGCCGCTTCTCCAGAGCTCGTTCCTGCTCTGTAATCTGCTGCCGCGCCTGCTCCTGGAAATCTCTGTATTCACTGTCCAGCTGCAGGGAGAGCAATATTCTTCATTAGAAGAACCAAAGGTTCTTATTTGCCATCTTACAGAGCTTAACAACACTCTTCATACCTCTTTTTCCACATTTTCCTGTATTTTATTGTGATTTTTAAAAGATGGACTCACACAAAGTAGTGCAGAATTGTGAGTTTAAGGGACAACAATGCACAGTTTTTAAACTATAAGACTTATGTATGTGTTCAACGTCTTCTATGCTGTCAGATATCCACAACTCAGTAGAGAGAATGTGTTGACGGTACAAATCTGGCCTTTATTGAAGGAGGAATCCATTTTTGAAAGGAATTCCATTTAAAAATAAGCCAAGCAATAAAGCAGACCCAGAAAACACATGGATGAATGTGCTCTGTCCAGATAAGACCAAAGATGTGTCCAACACCCATGGAGGTATACAGAAACACTGCATATTATCTTGAACACACCATAATAAAACAAGGTTAGGCTTGGTTAGTTGCTAACCTTTAGCCCCACTGCAGCACTAACAAAACCCAAATAAGAAATATTTTATGTATAAGGGTTTTAAGAATGGTTATTAAGCAGTTTTTCTGCATACTTTTCTGCAATATTTGCAACCAAGAAGCAAGGCTTTAAGAGTAATTTTAATAAGCCTTCAAATAGCAGGGTATCTACCTGCCTTCATTGTCCATATTTATGGACAGGAATCACCTATATGGCCTCATTACAAAAAAGTAAGTGAAGTTTTGCTGACGTTTGAGTCCAGGTGTGCCCAAGACACACCTGCAGCCAACCCCCTCATATTCCACTTCCATTTAGGTAACACATCTCAATTTAGATCTGTGTTTTCTGATTAATTTAAAGGCACATATACACAGAATTTAAAGTCTCTGTGAGTTAAGCTTTAAATTCAAGTCCTCTAACCTTGGTGAAAGTCTCCTGTAGCCGGCTGAGCTCAGCATGCACTTGTTCTAGCTCTCCCTGCATCTTTGCTGCCTTAGCTTCCGCCTCATCCTTCCCCAGCTGCACCCCCTCCAACAGTTGGCAGATGTCGTTCTTGTCCCCAGCAGTGTGCAGCAAGTACAGCTCGGCAACCCTCTGCCTCTCCTGGTCCAGCTGGGCTCTGCAGCGGTTCAGTTCTGCCTGGTCATTGCTCACCGCCACCTTGTACTCGTCCAACGTGGCTTCTAAGGCGGCACGATCCTGTCTTTCTGATTCAATGATGCGTTCCATTTGGTGGTTTCTCTCCTTCAGTGCTGCAATAATCTCCTGGGCCTCAGCATTATCCTGCTCAGCCATCTTCAGCGTGTTGGACAGATGTTGCTGCACGCCCAGCAGCTGCTCTCTCTCAAAGCGGGCATTGTCTGCCAGATCTCCGTAACGCTGCTCCAGCTCCATGTAGCGCCCACTCTTGATGTCCTCCTCCAGCACGTAGGAGATATGATGTTCATCCAATAGAGAGCGTAGGTACTCAATCTGTCTCCCATACAGCTCTAACTTGTCACTCTGTTGGCACAAGGACTCCATGAGGATGACCTTCTCCTCTCCGAGCCGTTCATTCTCTCCATTCAGTTCCTGGGTAATTTGCTGCAGATCAGCCAGCTCCTGCAGCGTGGCCTGGAGCTCCTCAGCAGTGCTGTGCTGGTTCTCCTCCATTTGGTGGATGCGCTCCGTCAAACAGGCCACTGACACCTCGCTGGCATTGCCGCTGCTGTCCCTTCGTGAGCGCTCTGTGCTTGGAGCACAGTCTGACTCGGATGATGAGGAAGCCCCAGAGGGTGCGTCCAGCGCATCGTCACTGGAGGTGACAGCTTGGTAGACCTCACTGGATTCACTGTCCAGGTTGTCTGCTGAACCTCCATGCTGATGCCCCGTGAGCAGGTCCTCCAGAGACCCAGGGGCAGAGCCTTCCACTGATGACGTCAGGGTACCTGTACAGCCTCCGTCACTGTGTGCCCCGCTGGCTGACAGGTCCGGACTCAAGGAGGGGTAGCTGAACTGCTTATCTGAGCTATCCAGCCTTTGCTCCAGAGAGAAGCCCAGCGCATTTAGGCGGTCTTTCAACATGCGGTTCTCGCTCTTTAACAGGTTAAGCTCCTCTCTGATGGCTTGATTTTGCTCTTGTAAGAGAATCAAAGTGGACTCAACATCAGCGGCCGTAATTGCTGAAAATAGGGGCTTCTCTTCGTCTCCGGCCTCCTGCTCTAAAGCCTCCTTTCCCCCGAGGCCAAGCTGGGCCCTCATGTCCCTCAGTTCAGTGCGGAGGTGGAGGATCTCCACATCTTTGCTCTTTGCCAGACCCAACAAATCTTTCACTTTGGCTTCTAAAGCAACCTTATCACTGATCTGACCATCAGACTTAGACTTGCTCATGCGGCCCTCTGGTTCCACCACCGTCTGGCTCCGGGAGCGCTTTCCCGTAGCAACATCTGCAGATGTAGCCACTGATACTGACTGCTTTTTAGCAGCTGAACTACGGGATGTCCGGAGACGATCCCGTGAAGAATTAGGTTCTTTGGAAGATACTGATGTTGTACGTTTAGAAAGAGACCCTATAAAGACATATGAGGAAATATGTGAAAATTAAACTAAAGTCAACCAGAATCATGTTCATATGAATTGGACCTCAGATACCTGATGTCGTCTTTGGCTTGATTTCTTGGTTATTTGGGCTACTTGCAATAGAGGCGGTCTTCTTGGTCTTGCTGACAGGATTCCCTCCAGCCATGGTGGCTAAAAGATCATCATTGCTTTTCACCTGAAACGGTAAAAACAACATTATCACAAAAAAGAATGAACAAAATCTAATTCAGCCATATTCACAGCATATTTTACCTTATTCAGAGGAGCTGCACTTTTGGCTGAGGACTTTCCGGCACCACCAGCGTCAGATTTCCCTCGTTCTGCCCCGATTTTACTCGTCACCGGTCGGGTCGACTTCTTCATACTGAGCTCTCTGATGATGACGCATTTACAACCCCAGCTAAAACAAAAGGAAGGCTTGTGTCAAGACATCTTGATGAGGGTTCAGTTTTTTAACACATAGGAAAACTGGAAGCTGAAGCAATGAGTCACTGTTGTTTAAAAGTCACTGAAGAAATACAGCAGACAGCTCAATAAGAAAGCTGCTGCGAAGTTTAAAGCAGGGCAAGTTTATAAAACAACATCCGATGCTTTGATCAATTAAATTAAGGTTGTTCATTATACACCTGCAAACCTGTCAAGCTATGGCTTCAAGCAGTGGCAGCACTAGACAAAATTTACAAGGGGGCGGTGTTTCTTCATGGGGAAACAACAAAAGAATAACAAAAACACACACACAAAAATAAAAAGAAACAGGGCAAGAACACATTGTCTACTATATTATGTGTATATTATGTGCCAAGCTTGAGGATTCCTGACCTATGATATGAAAACTGGGATTCTTTCTTGCAAGCTCTAAAGTAACTTTAAATGGGAAATATAAAAATAGGTCCTAGGGATGTATCAATTCTAGTCTCTTCTTTTAGCGCATATAATAAAAAAAAGTATTACACACTAAAAACTGAAAATTATTTTCCTGGAATTTAAGATAATTATCATGAAATTTTGTTTTTAAATACAAAACTATCAGATATTGGAACTCTGATTTGAAATTAATTATTGAAAGTTTTTTTTATATATTTAAAATAATATTTTCCATTGGCAAATTGTCTAACTTACCTGCTCAAACCAAACTTAAGAAAAATTACTTATATTTCAATTTTTCAATTCAATTCAATTCAGTTTATTCATATAGCGCAGGCATACCCAAAGTCAGTCCTCCAGGGCCGCTGTCCTGCAGGTTTTAGAGGTTTCCCTGCTCCAGTTAAGCTGATTTACATTAATAGTTGATTAACAGGTTTTGCTTAACTGCGATCATTAGAATCAGCTGTGCTAAAACAGAGAAACCTCTAAAACAGGGGTAACCAATTAAAAATCAGCGGGGTCCAAATAAAGAAAACCATCAACTAGCAACGGTCAGGAGACATTTTTAATTAGCTGTTACTTTTAACAGAATTTAACACTGAAATAAAATTAGGTGTTTAAAAAATAGAACATTTTTCCATTTTAAAATCTAAAGTGATTTTAAAATTTAAAGTGATTTTTTTAAGTAGAGAACAACAATTTTTCAGTTCAGTTCATATAGTAACAACAATCTGTTTTTAATATATTTTAACTACAAATTAGAGCATAATTGTTTTATATTTGAAAAACTAACAATATTTATTTAAAAGATTGGATGCAAACTATTGATACTTCAACAGACCACAAAGCAGATTTCTTATCTCCATCAGAAGCCACACATGTGCTGAATGCTGATGGAGATTTTTTAAAATCTGTCATATTAAATTAAGCATTCTTTTCTGCATGTTTTGCTCCTATGAATGTAATGATAATATCGCACATGCTCTCCTAAAGCTCCAAGGATAAGTCAGAGTGCAGCAATAAGGGAGGAACAGTGGAGGCTGTAGGCTTTGCTTTGCAGGAGGTCTGGAGCGCTGCGGGGTGGAGCGGTGACGGAGGATGTGGGATTTCGGGGTAAGAGGAGAAGCGGCGGGAAGTGATTTTTAGACACTGTTGTCAGACAAAATGTGGTAATTTATAAATGTTTTAAATCAGGTTGGGTCTGGATTAGCCAGCTAATCCATGACCTCTGTTCTAAAACCTGCAGGACAGCGGCCCTCCAGGACTGACTTTGGGGATGCCTAATATAGCGCATCTTAATGCACTTTACAGAGACAATTCAACCAGATCATACAGTATAATGGGTTCAAAGTTTTCTATCTAAACCAGCTGAGCGCATCGACTCATTGACAGCGATTCCTCACACCAAGCATGCTTGTAGCGACAGTGGAGATAAAAAAAACCCATTTAACAGGAAGAAACCTCCAGCAGAACCAGGGTCGATGCGAGTGGCCTTTGAACTGGGGTTCAAAGAGATAATAGTAGTATATGTATATGTTTGTAGTTCCGGGACTAGGAGCCAGCACCAGGTATACAGGTGTACTGGTCCTGGCTGGCCCCTGTCTATGCTGCCAGACCAAACAAAGTGAGCTTAATCCAGACACAGGGCAAGTAGGCCACAAGAGTATTGGAGCCACACTAAGACTTGTTTTAAATTAAGTGAACAGAGTGGAAATTAGCTATCTCGCCTGCCATTAGAGGGTGCTACTGCTGCAGCTACTGAGATGTATCGTGTTCACTTCATGTTCTGACTGATGAGTAGCATGCTGTTCAGGCTATCTCCGTCTAAATTAAGTTATTTTCTTTTTCTGTGATATCTCTGTATCTAAGCAACTAATTCTCCAAAAACACTTTTAAACATAGCTCCTTCTGCTGGTGAAGATTTCTAGTCATTCCACAAAAGTCAAAAGAAAATCCACTGGACTTTTTTTCCAAGTTTGAAGACGTTTTGCTTCCAAACCAGGCGACTGACACTGAGGCTGGCAGCATGTCTTCGAATGCAACAACAGAGAAGAAAAAAAACAGTTTTATCTACCGACTAAAGAATGAGAAAGCATCAAGCTTATTGCAGTTGTCAATTATAATAAGAACCTCATTCTAAAACTTGAACTGAACCAGGTAAAAAACTAACCAATATTTATTTCAAATCCGTTTTATATGATCAACATTAGATTCAATGCAACACCAGGAGATACGATTCCTTCCCTAATAAACAGAAAGGAAGCAATCACAGTGTTCATTCTGGCTGGGATAGTTTGACAAAACAATAATGAAAGATATTCTTATATTCTAATGCCACAAAAAGTAAAAAGAGTAAATTAGGATACAACAGAAAAAAAAAATTGCTTGAACAGCAAATATTTTGGAGATGTATCAAAAGGAAAAGGTGAACTGAAATATTTTACTGGGCACAGGAAGCAAAGCTTCAATCTGCATGCAAGTCAGTGCTGTGTTGTTTTCTACTCTCCAAAAACTGTATGTTTGGATATGGTTAGAAAAAATAATCAGGCCTTAAATCAGGCTGGCCAATATATCTCCAGCAGACCATTTAAATATTTTAGGGCTGCAACTAACAATTATTTTGCCAATCAATGAATCTGTTCATTATTTTTTCATTTAATCCACTAACAATCAAATAGCCAAAAGTTCCTTATAGAAGGATTTTAAAGGAAATTAAACCAAGTGAAACCAAAACTTTTTCAATTGAAGAGTTCTGGATAGAGAATATTGCTGCAAAATGCAAAATATAATTTTTACACTTTTGGTATGGTCACCGCTCTAACTAGGCTTCTCTGTTAGCTAAAGGCATGATTTATAGTCTCTATACTGCAGTTAACAATGGATTGATTACTAAATTAGTTGATGATTATTTCAATAATAGATTTATCTGATTGTTTCAGCATTAGAATAGTTAGGAAGGTTTTTTTGAGAAACAGTATATTCATTTCTGGAGAAGCCACATGGATCAACAGCTTAGGTACAGTAGGAGAATCTGTTTACATCATTGTTGCTAATATTATGCACCTAAGCGTCTATTTTATGGTCAAAGTGGAATTTCTTTGGGCTGTGAAACCGAAAACCGCCCAGAACTTTTTCCCCAGATATAAAATCAGAGGTTATATAGTGGAGTTTATGTCTTAAAAACTTAAAGTTTAACTTTGCTACAAAGCAGAACTGATTCTGTGTCTGAAAAAAAGACATTTTCTTTAAAGCTACAGTGTGTAATAATTACAGGGATATACAGTCAGAAATGTAATATATTATACATAACTATATTATTTATCATCATCTACGAGCTCAGCCTCTTAACCTTAATATCTGCGTTGCCTTAGAATTCTTTATTTATAATTACATAGGAGCGGGTCTCGCAGCCATGGAGGCAGACATCTTTGCGCTACGGCAGCGCAGAGCCAACAAACTAGAGATTGAGAGATCGCCATTACGCTCGAAAGTAACTACGGCAAGTTGAGAGAGATGAACTGAGACGGTACTGAACAATAGATGTCAGTATTATGCCTGAGAATACTATCTGTAAAATTATCTATGTAAACAAACCTCATCACTTGAGAAGGTAGGTGATGCGGACGTCGTGGAAGACATTTTGTCCCGTAACGGTCGCCACGGGGGGGAGAAGCGGTGGGGGGGAGATGTTCATGTTGCTGCAGCCTGCAGTCTGGACGTTAGATGTCGCTAAAAATTACACACTGTAGCTTTAACTATGTAGGTTATAAACAGACATTAAGAATTGCAAATATCACAAGTACTGCATCAAGAAGAAGCTGAGCTATAAGAACAACCAAAAACAGGTGGGAAGGAGTCAGAACCACCAGAACGACACTGAAACAGACAGCAGATAAATGGGTCTGATGAAGATACATGGCTGATGATTATTTGAGTGAAGCTTTTGTTGGCAAGAATGAAGAAGTCTAAAACTGCATTTACAAGCCTGTAAAAGGCACCAGTTGTTGTTCTTGCAGACGTTTAGCTAAAGAAAATATGAACTTCAATTCTAAAGTATAGAAAATTTCCCAAAACACACTTATCTGCTGAATACAATATGGTGCCTTAAGCTCATATTTTGGAACATTCTGGCCGTGTACCCTGACTTGATCCCAAGTTAGCATACTTAGGCTTCCATGCACACACACACACACCATCAAAACAAAGAGGAAAAGTACTGACATTTGCACTCAACGAATAGCCAGTTCTCCGAATAGCTGAATGCATGTCAAAGCAGATGTCTGAAATTGAGCTGCTAGGTGGAGCCCTTTTGATTCGGCCTGAAAAAACATGGGAGTGATCGTGGGGGACCAACAGAGCAGATAAATTAGACACAGTCAGCAGGCTTCTCCCTTCCCACACAGCCTAAAACTAAGCTTCCTTCATTACCCTGCAGATAACTGATCCATAACTGCCATGTCCACTTCATGCTAATGGTGTTTCACTGTAAACCTCTGAGGTGTAAGGCATTGTTTAGATTGGACCTACAGAATCAGAAATACTTTAATAATCCCAGAGGGAAATTAGCAGGCATCAGGGAGCGCCAATTTTAATGAAGAAATTTAAAAAAATTATAATTTGAGAAAGCAATTAAAAGATCGAGCAACAGTGCTACAGCTGCAAGGAGAGGAAGATGGCGAAGGTAAAGATCGCTGCTTGAGTATCTGCGGAAGTTTCTATGCAGTCACCTATGACAGGCTGTTTCAACATTTATAAAAAGCACTCTCCTCTCTATTGTTCCATTTTTACATCACTAAAATAGGATTCTTCCTGGTCAAAAATCACATTCCTATTCAGAACTGTAATAAAAGATTTACTAAATTATTATTTTGCAGCAGAAACTGAATTTAACAAAGTAAGAAAACAAAATTGGGATAGTAAGAACTAAGTTTTATATTTATAAAATGTGTAAACAATTATATTATATATATATATATATATATATATATATATATATATATATATATATATATATATATATATACACACACACAATTGTTTACACATTTTAAGAGGCCGTTTTGACATTTATCAGCTTGACTAACAATGTATTTATGATATCTGAATATCAGTCAAACTAATGCATATCAAAATGGCCTGCCATAGTCTGCTGAATCTAGGATAACATCACTGGGAAAACTAGTTTATGGCTTGAATGGTAGTGGATTAATGTAACACGTAGCCAACATTTCGTAGGAACCAGTCAGCTACTGGTTGTGACAGGTTAGAGACGTGCAGCCCAGACTAAGTTTTTTTTTTCAGTAAGAATGGAATACTGAGAAAAAATGTTGACAAAGGATGAAACAAGGAATGCCCTGAAGAGGTTTTTAGGTGACTTTTCAAAAAGCTGTCTTAATTTATCCCTAGAAGGACTGTTCAGCATCCTCCATTACCTCAAGGGCAGACACTGGTCAGTGCCTGCCTCTCCCCAGCACGGGTGCTCTCTGCACAATTAAAAGTAAGTACAGCGAAATCCTAATGTGATCCTCTTAATGATTAGCCTAATAAACCAGACTATATGTGAGATTACCTGTGCAATTTAGTCTGGCCCCGATGAATGAGACATCGGAAGATTGTTGATAAGAACAACCCGTTGTCTTTAAAACCACCGTCTGTGCCTATTGGCTACGCTCTGACCAACGAGCGCAACTGACTGTGGTTAAATAAAATTAAAAATGAATGAGCGTAGAGCCCCTTTCTGCTCACGATTCAACGAAAACCCAAAGTCTAATCCTTACAAAGCTGAGTCAAACGAGAACTGTTCAATAGTTGTCATCTTCCTTGTTGTGCTTTCTTCAGCGTGACGCAGCTTTGTCGTCACGCCCTCAAAACCCCGACCGATTTGTATCCAAATATTCAAAACATATCTCTGCGTTATGATTGGCCAGCCAGTTCTAGGGCCTGGGGCATTGATAGAGGGTAGACCAACTCACAGCCAAAAATGATTTTGGCCGCTGACGGGTGGGGCAAGTTTACTAGGCTAACCTATGATTAGAAGCACACTACTCCTTTCTGTGCTTCCAGGGCTTTTTCAAAATTCATGCTCTCTTCAAGCCGATTGGAAGGTTTGGCATAGAGAACAATTTAGCAGCAGTCTTTAATGTTATGTTTAACCCATGCCTTTATTATGAAGTGTCGACAACGAAATATTAATGGGAAATGCTTTGTAGTTGCCATGGGTAACAACAGGGAAGTGATTAACTAAAAATGTGAAACAATCATTCCTCAGACTAAATAAGGTTAAATTCAGTATAAGCAAAGGAATGCCATATTATGTTATGCAGTAACATATTTAGAAAAGTAGCGCAACACCAAGTTCTGGTCAAATGGTGAAGTCCTCCACCTAACTTAAAAAATGCTAAAACTAAAACAGAACAAACAACAGTTTTGATTGCACACATCTGCACTTAAGTAAAACAAACCAAAGTAGGCTACTTCCTTAATGGGAGGATGGTGACCTCTGGATGACCAAAAACAATCTTTATCATCTCTGAAACAAAAGTGGGCACAACTTATTTTTTAATCATTTTTAATGGCTATTTCGACTTCATAAACTTTTACAAACGGAGCACAAAATCTTCAGTCAAATTTTCTGAGGGTTTTTTTTTCCACGTGGGTGGGATGTCAACTTCACGCAGCTAGAGCTTCTCTCATTTGATGACGCTGCCCGCGGTGTAAACACTGTCTATCTGAATGGAACAGCGTTGAACTCCTTAAGAACCGAAGCAAAACGAATAACTCGCTAATCTTCACTGGTGCACACATTATGTGGAAAGAAAACGGGGTCACTCCTGGTATAGTAAAACAATAGGTAACCCTAAATAAAGGATATAACCATCAGCTATGTATTTCTCCCGCGAGGCAGGATCTTATCAACTTCCTGTTTGTTTTACAGCTTTCAAAACAAAAGCATGAAGCGAGACACGTAAGCAAACTTGGGAATACATTTTCCATAAAGTATAACAGTAACGTCTAACTATAATATACAAATACAATAAAAGCATAAATGACAATTATATAGCACATAGTACGTAGGCACTATGACTAGCAGCTAAAAACCATTTACACCACCTTTCAATGTTAGGTTTTAAACTAATTTTACAGCAAAGATCAACAACGGGTTCAACCAGGCTGCCTTCAAGGCATAGTTGGAATTCCACAATAGATCTCATACTCCACATACAACTCATGGTGAAGCTACGTGACAATATCACGCACTTATTCTGAAATTCTTCAGCATTACTCAAAAATGAATTAGCTAACTTGACAGCTGAACCAAGAACCCCTCTAATAGATAATAGTCAATGTTTCTTGTTTTATAAAAGCTACAGACATGAAACCAGGGTGTTGTAATAAATTTTGTTGAATTTTAAAGCTGGGATTTGGTTCTTATTTTAAGTTAGTTAGAGAACTTTTGGTGGTTAATGCTAATATTATGCTAGCATGGCTAGCATAGCCAGGGCTAAAATACAGGCTTCTTGACAGCAAACTGATAAAAATTGAAAACCATACCTTTGGTCATTCTAATCTTTTCAACTTCAAACTTTGATTAAGGCCTGATGGAGATCCATTAGCAGCTCCGGACAGTCAACAGATCCAACAACTGGAGAAGGCAGCATCGGTGTTTCGGCTGTTTTTTTCTTCTGACCCCCTCCCCTCCCCTCCCGTCCCTGGTTTCATCAGCTCAGCATCAGACTGCACAGGAGGGGCTCAAACACCATTATCATAAAGCCTGACAAAGTTCAGGCTAATTAAAATGTACTAAATCAAGGACAGAGTAAGACCAAAAATAAATAGAAATAAACGTAAAACTATAATTTATTTATGAACCTAATACTAAAGACAAAATAAAATAAAATACTAAAGACTAAGGTATGAAAATAGAGAATTTGTCGTTTTAAGGTATTTTTTGTGTGGCAATACTTCTCTGCAATAAATCCACCATGACAGTGTATTTTTTCTGAAACAGGTGCCACATTTGTAAGGAAAATGCATGTGGGTTTCCCTGTTCAGTATAAAAAGAAAAAAAACATTTTATGCTCCAACTGCATTTGGTGGAGGCATTGTGATAGTGTGAATAAGCCTCTCCAAAAACAAGTTCTTATACCATTAACAGAGGTGTCAAGTAACAAAGCACAAATATTTTGTTACTATACTTAAGTACATTTTTTAGGTATCTATACTTTACTCCATTACTTATTTTTCTTCATACTTCTGACTTCTACTCATTACATTTTCACACATCTGTACTTTCTATTCCTTACATTTTAAAACAAATGTTACTCATTACTCTTGGCCTCGGTTTAATGTTTATAAATATTTGCAGATCATTGGCTCCATCCACATCTAGTGAAAACTAGTGTAACTGGATGAGTCATAGAACGCAAACACTCATTGGTTAGCCAATGGAAATCATCAGAAGCAAGCAGGTGTTCTTCACACTGCAAAAGCGAATTGTCTATGCCATGCTACAATGCTGGATTCAGAAAAACACTAAATGTCTTAAAGGTCAGACACAGGCGAGAGCGTATCAGAGATGGAGACGGAGACCAACAAGACCTCCCTCATCCTTGGCCCTATCTCAAATCATTTTTCGAAATAGTCAAAAAATTGAGCTTTCAATTCATATAGTGGCATCTGACAGTTTTTTTAAGGTTACTTTATAATTTTATACTTTAAGTAGTTGTTGGAGCACATAGTTTTTCACTTTTACTTGAGTAAAGAGATCAAGTTGATACTTCAATTTTTACCAGAATGTTTTTAAACTAGTATCTATACTTCTACTTAAGTAACAAATGTGTGCACTTTTGACACCACTGATCATTAATGACCAAAATATAACAATGGAGGGAAAATCCTAGATGAGCTTCCCAAACCAAAGGTCATCTTAATATTTCAACTCCTTTTAACCAAAATTTGTCTGCCAATATACCAGTGCCTGCAGTTCTGACCTCCCTTGTTCAGAGCACTGGTGTGAACAGTTGTGGGGTTATCTTCATTCCAGGGTGACCAATGCAACCACTCTGGTTGTGTTGCAACAAATGCTAATTGTGGAATGTAGGAATTCCCATAGCAATTGTGATCAAGCTGGTTTCCAGGAGGAGGAGGAGGTGCCGGGATGTTGTACGTGTGTACCCTTTTTCCCAAGCACTACTGAGGACCATGTTTGAACAATAAGTCTGGTTTCCTATATGTCTCCAGTCTTCAAAGTTGAATCATCTAATCTGGGGCAGAATAAGCTTTTTTCTAAGCTATTTGATGATGACGGTTGAATATGAACAATTTTTATAAACAAAACCCACATTTTTAGATCTTTGGCTCAACCAACGGATGAATTTTATGGAATTACTATTCCAGAGAAAAAAGTATAACTTTGTAGTGTGGTGAATTTTATGCCTACATTTGGACTTGAAGGGAATGGGAGTGACTGCTTGTCCTTTCAATTTTATTAGAAGGGGAGGACAAATCATCCATATTAAGACAATAGGAGACCTGAAACATTTCAGTTAGTTTGCAATGAATCTAAAATATATGTATGTTCATGTTTGATCATTACAATATGGAAAAATAATAAACTTTATCACAATATGCTAATATTTTGAGAAGGACCTGCATAAGGGGCTGGATTTGCAAAAAGTTCTTGAGTGCTTGTTTTTTCTTAGTAAGCAATAGCTTCAGATCACTTGGGATTGGTCACGCTCAGTCATTTCATTGATGTCTTCTCCATTTGGCTGACACAGTGCATCCCAGTCTTTAGTCTCAATATAACCTTGCAGGGCTTCTTCAGCTTCCTGTGACCATCTTCTTGCTGCTCTTTTTAATGCAGGTTATCTCTTATAAAGAGGCTTGCACTCGGAGCACAGTAAAAAAAAGACTGTGATCTGAATTTCCTAGGAAAAGGTCAAAATATGGCCAAAAACCAACTGCCACAACAGTTCAATATCTTGGCAGCAGTGACAAATTCAATTCAATTTCGATTCAGTTTATTTATGTAATGCCAATTCAACAGCACGTGATTTCAAGGCAGTTTACAAAGACAATTCAACCTGATGATAAAGTCAGATTGTTTGCTGGTTGCGTTGATTCATCGACTCAAAAGCAATCTCTTGTTCACAAGCACTACCAATCTACCTCCCTTGAGTTTTCCAGTCTTCTTTAAATATCTGTCTGCTGGTATGGTCGTAAAGCCTGGCAGAGAGACACTGGAATCTGAGATTCTGCAGACACGTTTCAGTAAAACACATAATGCTGCATTGCCGATATTCTAACAGGTTTCTTGCTAGTGCTTGGAGCTCATCTAACTGTTTCCTAAAGATCTTACATTGCCCTAAATGACTGATTAAATAGGTGGTTTAAATTTGTTGTTCCTCACTCTTCTCCTTGCATCCATGGCGCCTCCTTTTCAACTCAGCTGGTACTTGCGGAAGTACTGTAGCTGAAGTATTATTTAAGCTTTAGATATGTTAATTAGCTGCCACTGGGTGTAAAAAAAAAAAGCAACTTGCTATGGTTGCTGTGGTTACGCATTATAATAAGTATCCAAAAAGGTGAAAAAAAGTCTGTAGAAATCCTTCCAGTTTCATAGCATTCAAACCAGAGGCTTAAACATCAGGAAAATAAAAACCTGATCCAAAAATGGAGAACTAATGTTCTCATAGTCAAACTAGCTGAGTTTTAGTCTGTTTGGGTGAGTGTCTGACTACAGAGGGGTGATTGCCTTCACTCCTTCAGGAAATAAACCCTTTTTTTTTTAGGCTGTTTCAAATTTACTCTTCCTGTATATTTATCCTGATTGAAGTGGGACAAGCTGTGCATTGCCTGGCATTTTAACCATTTATCTTTTTAAGCTGAATGTATTTTATGTTGTTTTAATTACACTGTTATCATCATACCTGCTGGTATTCCAAATGGACATTATTGAATGTATTAACTGGCCATCTGGCCTATCTTGGACAATCTCAGAAGCCAGTTAAACTGACTCTTGGGGTGTTACTCCTTTTCTTTCAAACTAGTCATTTAGTCTATCTTTTGTTTATTTTCTAATAGCGTGTAGCGTTTGCATAGATGTTAGATTTCTGTAATCCTGAATTATGAGAATAAAGACGTCATTGTTTAACTTGCAGTGGTTTGTGATTCATATATATATACATACCCGGATGGTTTATCACTCAGGCCAGATCCACCCTGTTTTGGTAATAGTGTGAATAAACAGAGACAAATAGTTCTTTGATAATTAATAGCTCCCAGAGATGGGAAGTAACGAAGTACAAATACTTCGTTACTGTACTCAAGTAGATTTTTCTGATATTTTTACTTTACTTTACTACTTATTTTTCTGGCGACTTTTTACTTCTACTCCTTACATTTTTACACAAATATCTGTACTTTCTACTCCTTACATTTTAAAAAATTGGCTCGTTACTTTAGTTTTGAATCATTTCAATGGAGTTACCGTTATTATTTTTCACGTCATCAATACCAAATTCAATCTAATTGGATGGGAATCTACGTTGCATTTGACGCACCACTACAAGATGAATCGACAGATTCGGCGGTATTCATTGGCGGCAAATCATTGCAGCTTAGTGGCGGTGGCGTTAGCATAGTAGCATGGACGACGGGATGATTGAAAATGAACACAACGGAGATCTAGTCCTATTGGCAGACATCCATTTAAAATGTAAGCAACGGCATGAAAAAAGTGGTTTCTACTTTTACTTTTATACTTTAAGTAAATTTACAAGCCTGTACTTTGTTACTTTTACTTGAGTAAAGAAGTTTAATCAGTACTTTCACTTTTACCAGAGTATTTTTTAACACAAGTACAGGTGCTGGTCATAAAATTAGAATATCATGAAAAAGTAGATTGATTTCAGTAATTCCATTTAAAAAGTGAAACTTGTATATTATATTCATACATTACATACAAACTCATATATTTCAGATGTTTATTTTGTTTAATTTTGATGATTACAAATGACAACAAATGAAAATCTCAAATTCATCATATCAGAAAATTAGAATATTACTGAAGACCAATAAAAACAAAGGATTTATAGAAATGTTGGCCAACTGAAAAGTATGAACATGAAAAGTATGAGCATGTACAGCACTCAGTATTTAGTTGGGCCTCCTTTGGCCTGTATTACTGCAGCAATGCGGCGTGGCATGGAGTCGATCAGTCTGTGGCACTGCTCAGGTGTTATGATAGCCCAGGTTGCTCTAATAGTGGCTTTTAGCTCTTCTGAACTGTTGGGTCTGGTGTATTGCATCTTCTTCTTCACAATACCCCATAGATTTTCTATGGGGTTAAGGTCAGGAGAGTTTGCTGGCCAATTAAGAACAGGGATACCATGGTCCTTCAACCAGGTACTGGTAGCTTTGGCACTGTGTGCAGGTGCCAAGTCCTGTTGGAAAATGAAATCTGCATCTCCAAAAAGTTGGTCAGCTGCAGGAAGCATGAAGTGCTCTAAAACTTCCTGGTATGTGGCTGCGTTGACCCTGGACCTCAGAAAACACAATGGACCAACACCAGCAGATGACATGGCACCCCAAACCATCACTGACTGTGGAAACTTTACACTGGACTTCAAGCAACGTGGATGAAGTGCCTCTCTTCTTTTCCTCCAGACTCTGGGACCTTGATTTCCAAAGGAAATGCAAAATTTACTTTCATCAGAGAACATGACTTTGGACCACTCACCAGCAGTCCAGTCCTGTTTCTCTTTAGCCCAGGCAAGACGCTTCTGACGCTGTCTGTGGTTCAAGAGTGGCTTGACACAAGGAATGCGACAGCAGAAACCCATGTCTTTCATACGTCTGTGTGTGGTGGTTCTTGAAGCACTCACTCCAGCTGCAGTCCACTCTTTGTGAATCTCCCCCACATTTTTGAATGGGTTTTGTTTCACAATCCTCTCCAGGGTGCGGTTATCTCTCTTGCTTATACACTTTTTTCGACCACATCTTTTCCTTCCCTTCGCCTCTCTATTAATGTGCTTGGACACTGAGCTCTGTGAACAGCCAGCCTCTTTAGCGATGACCTTTTGTGTCTTGCCCTCCTTGTGCAAGGTGTCGATGGTCGTCTTTTGGACAACTGTCAAGTCAGCAGTCTTCCCTATGATTGTGTAGCCTATAGAACTAGACTGAAAGACCATTTAAAGGCTTTTGCAGGTGGTTTGAGTTAATTAGCTGATTAGAGTGTGGCACCAGGGGCCATCAATTTTGAACCTTTTCACAATATTCTAATTTTCTGATATGATGAATTTGATATTTTCATTTGTTGTCATTTGTAATCATCAAAATTAAACAAAATAAACATCTGAAATATATGAGTTTGTATGTAATGTATGAATATAATATACAAGTTTCACTTTTTAAATGGAATTACTGAAATCAATCTACTTTTTCATGATATTCTAATTTTATGACCAGCACCTGTATGTGTACTTTTACTCAAGTACGGAAAGTGAGTACTTTTGCCATCTCTGATAGCTCCACTGATAACCTAGCCTAGGTCACTAAATCAGTGGATACCTGGATTTTAGCAGCCGGTCCAGGAACCATCCAGAAGGAAAAGGCATAAACCCTGGTAAGTAAGCAAATTAGAGCTACAATTATTCAACTAAGAACACTTCACATCTGATTTTGAATACGGTAAGTTAAATAATTAACTATAACTTCAGTTCTGGTTAATCATTTATTCATTATCTGCAGGATATCATTTTGCACAACAAGAGTCAGAGGATTTTCATGAGCCTTTTTTAAAATACCTGCCCTCTCCACTTAAAAAAAAAATGTGTGCGCGAGGACATGCACGAGTCCATATCTCCTTGGGCACGCTCTGTTTAAAAGTTGTTGTTCTCATAGCTCATACAAGCTTACTGTGCCCGAATGTCCGCCCTAATACCTGAATCCCTCAATTACTATGTAGAGCAGGGACTATATAGTTGACTTTATAGGAAACTCAGTTAACTGACCGTACGGACAGATGATCACAGCGTTTCGCTCTGTTGGTCACGTAAGTCCTTCTCCATTGCGCGGTGACTGCGCCATCGTTATTATTAGTCGCCGCTGTCAGGCAGTGACAGGGGGGCTCCTGTGACAGCAAATCCAATAATGCTTTGTGAGGAGAGCTCTCCATGCAAAGCAAGGATATATCTGTCTCTTCTGAGGCCTTTTCATTCTTCTCATACACTTTTTCTTTGGCCATTTTAACTGGGGTGACAAACATGAGCTTCAATGACTGTCTGAAACCATAGATTACCAGATATATATGCCTAAAAGTGCGCATGCGCAGAAAAAGATGGCTACTGGGACCACCACGTAGGACGGCTTTAAGTAAACATATCACCAGAATGTTTGACAATTAGGAGGACCACTTATTTAGATGATCCACCTGGAAATGAAAGATTATCCTCTATACCTTTAAGTCCATAAAATGCATCCTTACATCAGATGCTGCAGATGAGTCAGAACTGTGTGAAATGTTAATGAAACATTATCATTAGTCGAGCAATTCTACATGTAAACAAACTGCAGGCTGTCAAGGTACTTTGGACATTGGGAGGAACCTCTAAAAGCACTTGATGACTGGGACATGAGCAACAGGACAGTACTCACTGAGGGAAATGTTTTGTTTTTTGGGTACAGGCACAGCGATGGAGAACTTTAAGCAAATATGAATCATGGAAAGCACCAGGTGGAGGTTGAGGCTTCACAGGAAAAAAATCCTGCAAATTGATCAGGACTTGTTTTTAGGATGACACCATCTCTGGATGTTCATCTTCCTTAAGGTGGATATCACTTGATGCAGCTCTTAGATGAGCTAAGTGTTTTTTCTGGCGCTTTCAGGGATGGAACATAGAAAGAAGCAGTTCAAGGCATCAGGCAGAGCTGGATGATGCCTGAGAAGGTGGTTGCTTTGCCTGCTTTTTCAGTTCTCTTCAGTCCCTTCTCTCCAGATCAGGACACAGGCCAGTCTGTGTCCCGATCTGTTAAATGCATGCCAACCATTTTAGCAGGGGCCACACTGCATTCTACCCATGGGTTCTAGTTAAGGAAAACATTTCCTTCATAGTAAACCTGCATTGGTGAAGAGATGATTACAGGACAAGCATCTTATTTGAACACTTATACTCTGTTTGCTTAGCCCCTGTGATTCAGCTAAATGCATAAAAAAAATATATATTTTTTTCCAACTTCAATAGATTACATATTTGATTTACTGTAAATATAAAATAATTATTTGTGGTTAATAAAAAAAATTATGGTCTCTGAGGATCATGGTTCAAAAAAGTGTGGTGATCAGTCAGTCCGCCTACCGATCTTGGCTAGGAACTGCTACCATATAATAGTGGAAATTGACAGTAATTTTAGAGGAGAAAGTTGACACTTATATTATTTTATTATGGGTTCAGGACTATATGTTTTCCACAGTGTTGTGTATTCATTAATTCAGAAAAAATAAAAATAAAATTTAGAAGTTTTTATTTACATAAATCAAACATACTTTACAATAGAAATCTATAAGCATCACTAAGAATCATTGCTTGACTTGAATCATGAACTTTTAAGGTTACAGTTTTTGTTTTTACTATTTGTAAAGAGCTGGAATAAAACCTGCAAGCACAGGGTGTACACAATCCCCAACATTGCTAGGGTGGTTTGAGGGAACTGCTGGATTTCGATTGTCCTACAGATAAATATTTAGTGTTTGCAGATAGTGCTCTTATTTCTACAGCTGTGGCAGACTACGAAGGAATGCACAAAGCAATATAAGAATTTTAGCTGAATACATTTTTTAGATAAAATCTGAGAAAGTGAACACTGTTATGGACTGTGGACAAAAAGAGAGACATGTAATCAAAACTATACAAAGCATGGTACACATTCTATGTTAGGCTGACTTTGGGTAGATTTCCTGGAATGATTCGCCTTAAAACTCTATGTACCAGTAAAATGATACTGTAGCTCATCTGAGCACTGAAAAACAGAGCAGGAAAACGATAGTTTTAAACAAAACAAAACCTCCACTGGTTAATTCAACATGCCTGCATGTTAACATGTGCTGACTAGAGTTGTAGTTCTTATACAATTTAAAACGTGTAAACAAATGAGGAAAAGAAAAGCTCTAGCTCTATTGGTCATTATCTGGGAAACATTGGCACAGGTGAATTTAGACTGTTTTTGGAGGGAGGTTTGGGAAAATCTATCTTGATCCAACCATCCACAGCAACAGATAAATCAGATAAATTTCAGACATATAAACAAAACTCCAGTGTAAATTTGGAGATAAACTGCATAAAACAGTGTGAGGGAATACAACAAAGAACTGTAAATAGTTCTTCCTTAGCTAAATTGAATAAAAATGGAATTATATATTTCACTTATAAATCTTCAGGGAAGTCTTTTACTGACACAGCAGAATGACGTAAACAGAGCATGTTTGATAATCGTGTCTTCCAGTTTTCTAGAGGGTAGTGGTGCCTCCTGCTGGCTAACAAAAGTAAATGCAAGGCTGCACAAAACAGGCTGATACTCCTTCTGTAGATCATTATAGGGAAGTTCCTTCCAGTTCCTGTCATACTTCCGTGGAAAACAGGAGACTTTGTCGCTTGCTGTCAGGGGCTGGAATGCTCTCCAACTGGAGGAAGTAGAGAAGGACTTCGACCTTAAAAGAAAACACACAACATGTTTACACAAATACTCCAAATCTAACACTAACTTGTTTTGCTATTTTAGTATGGATTGTACCTGAGCCATAACCTCAAGGGACCAGCAGTCATTCATGGAGATGGGTTGGGAACTCGATGGGATTTTGCTGTCTTTTTCAGAAGGTCGAAGCAAAGTGGGTCCAAAAACAGTGGCCAAGTTGTGCAAAGACATTTTGTTGACACTCTCATTTTCAGTCACCCTGTAAAAAAGAGCCATCATCAGAAAATTCAAAATATGGAACATAGTGAATTACAGTAAGAATTTATATTGCCTTTTAAAGTGGATTTTAGAACCCATATTACTGACAAAACATTACCTATAAAGCCAGAGCAATTAAAACAGGAAGTTACAACCAAATAAAGATGATGACATTTAGTTGTGAGGTACCTTCATGTGCCGTTCTACAGCTGTAAACCATGAATGGACAGTTTTCCTCACAAAATATCTTAAAAACAGACCAGGTAGGATATTTTTACTGACACATCAAAAACAGTATTTTGGAAACTGCTTATGAGCATTAGGTTTTAGTAAAGAAATTATATTCTTTTACAGAAGAGTTTACTTTTCTTGTGTCCTTACTTGGGTTTGGTGCTGAGAATGGATTGGAACCAGAACTAAGACCACAATTTACCTGAAATCTTTCAAATTTTTGTGTTTTGGATTCCAGTTTGAATGAAAGAAGAGGCCACAGAATACCAACAAGGAAAAAAATTGCACAGCTCCATGTATGTGTGCAGCAGCATCTGAAAGTACTGCATATCTCTGATTAAAGAAGCAACCAGCTGACTCAGAGCTACGCTTGCAACATGATAAAATTGTGCAAAAACTGTGCACAACCGACATGATGCCTCTGGACTTGTGATGAAAGCAACTCTTCTTTGATGCCCTGTGACATTGCAGTGCTTAGGTATTTATCCCTACTGGATTCATTTCCCCTGCATTAGTTGCACTTTTACATAATGTTTTAACTGTATAAAAACAAGTTTTTATTCATGGTTACCTTCGCCAATGAGGTTGTTTTTAGGGGAATTTTTGTGTTTGTTTGTCTGTCCAACCGTCTGAGTACAGGATAACTTGAAAAGTTATGAATAGATTTTTACCAAAGGTTCACTTCAGTCCCAATCCATTAAATTTTGGTGACGATCCACTTCTTAATCCAGATGCAGGATGTGTTTAAAGGATTCTTGGACATTACTAGGCAGAATAACCAGTTCCCCATGGACAAAAAAAGTCCAGAAGTATTATACCCAAGTCTAACTGATTGGAATTGAGGTGCAGTGAACAACACTGAGCCTAGCACCAGCAGTCAGAATCAGGTTACCCAAACTGGCCGTTTGTCAAATCAGCAAGGAAATCCAAAAGACAAGCAGTAGAACGTAAGGGTGAGAAGATTAAACAAATAAAGAATTCGCCATCCCATATGTTGCTGGATTCTCTGAAAAACTCAAGAGGTACAATTTCATCCCTACTGACCCCCAGAGGGCGGTGCTGAAAGCACTGAATGTTCCCTTCGGGCATGCGCAGTTCGAGTAATTATACCAACAGAGTCACACCTGTGACACCGGATGACCACTCAGAAGCTATATAGCCTGGTGTCATCCTTTGCTCTGCTCCTTTTTTCTTCTCGCAAGCGGTTCGCTAACTTCCCCGTTGTCTGAAGCCCCTGTATCTTGACCGGAGTTGCGGTTATTCTCCGCCCTCCCAGGGCTGCAACGGGTTGATTCTGAGGATTACGGAAGGTAAGTGAGTTGTTTGCTGGTGATGGTAGCGTCCGCGCCCCCTCTCCCGGCTCACGACTTTAGCTTTTTACCTACAGCTTCGTGCTGTTTTGTTTCGAACTGGTGACGTCAGCGTTTTCGCCCCTACTCCCAGTGTGAATAACTTCACTGCCGAAGTTATATACGGCTAACGTAGTTAGCTTCTTTAGTTTGTTGGTGTTGTACCTGGTGACGGCAGCGGTTTTCGCCCCCTCTACCAGTATATTCCCTACTTTTGCATCCTTTTTTTCACCGGTCTGCGCTGCTATAATTACTGACGGCCGCGGTTTACGCCCCCTCTCCCAACCAAGTGTGGTCTACTTCGTTTGCCGAAGTTGGAAACGTTGTTAGCCTTTTTTGGTTTGTTTGCAGCCTTCTTCATCGGTCTGCTTAGTTATGAATGGTGACGGCAGCGTTTTCGCCCCCTCTCCCAAAAGCAACCTTTTTTGCAGCCTTTTCGTTGGTCTGCTCTCTTAATTGGTGACAGCAGCGTTGTTCGCTCCTACTCCCAACTTAAGTTTCCATACAGCTAACGTTGTTAGCTTTTTTGGTTTATTGGTTTTATACCTGGTGACGGTAGCGGTTCTCGCTCCCTCTCCCAGTATCGGCTGCCTTGTGCTCGCAGCCTCTTTCGTTTCTCTGCTGTAATTGGTGACGGCTGCGTTTGCGCCCCCTCTCCCGATTTTCGATAACTTTCTGTTCTTTAAGTCTTGTCGGCCTTCGACATGGATAGCTCTCACAGCTGCATGGATTGTGGGGCTGCCCTGCAGGCAGAGGATGGCCACGACCTGTGCCCTACCTGCCTTGGACATGAGCACCTTTTGGAGGCGCTGTCTGAGAACCCCTGTATGAACTGCAGCTTTATGCCCCATGCAGTGAGGGTGGCCCGGTTGTCCCAGTTGTGCCCCCAGGAGGGCTCGGACCTTCCGCCCTCTGGGCAGGTGGTTCCCCCCAAGCGTTCTAAGCGCCGTGGTGGGACCACAGCATCTGTGCCCCTCCCCCGGAGGAAGCGGGCCAAACCTGACCAGGGCCTGTCCACAAGGGTGGAGCAGTTGTCAGCAGAGCTGGCAGAGATGAAGTCCTTGTTGCAGACACGGCAATCTGATCCCTCACTCCCAGTGGTTGGGCTCTCTTCCCCACCAATGCCCGAGCTGGTTGTAGAGGATGACGTTATCTCTCTGGCTGCTTCCGCTTCTCATTTTAGAGATGAGGAGGAGGCAGGGTCCTCTCAAGCCTCTGAGGCTGGTTCATTTTCATCTCAGAGTGCGGTTGGAGAGGCCGGTGACGGTTCCATGCGGGAGGTCATGTCTATGGCCCTGAAGCAGCTGCAGCTGGAACTCCCACAAGGAGAGGCCTCCAGCTCCGGCAGTGCCTTTTTCAGACGTGGAAGGGCTCCTACTCCTTTTTCTGTACCTCCATCAGAGGAGTACTTGAAGAAGTTACACGCCTGTTGGCGGGAACCGAGAGCGCTGTTGCGTCTCTCATCGGATGGTCGTGTATTAGCTGCCATGCATGAGTCGGTGAAGGCCGGCCTGGACCGTATGCCAGCAATTGAACCAGCTGTTGCTTCACTGATTGTGTCACCAGATGAAGCCCTGCGTCCTGATGTCCGGTGCCCGCGGACTCAATGTCGGGTTACAGATGACCTCCTCTGTAAGGTGTACAATGCAGGAGCGCGTGCTGGCCGCCTTGGCAATTCTCTGGCGCACCTCATGTTTGCCCTGTCTGCATCTGTTCAGGACACTGGTGGTGCAAGTGCGGCGGTTGGTTATAGTGACGCAGCGCTGCAGGCCTTCGCACTGATGACCAGAGAGCTTGGACGGGTCATGTCTTTCCTTGTCCAAGCTCGTAGACAGGTCTGGTTGGCACAATCTCCTCTGACTGAGGCATGCCGTAGGACCCTCAGGGGTGTCCCGGTTGTACCAGGGGAGCTGTTTGGATCAGCTGCCTTGGAGGCGCTGGAACGGACTGCTCAGGCACGTCAGACTAGCCAGCAGCTTTCCGGCCTTCGCAGGAGCATACCTGCCTTTCCCCAGCGTTCGGGCCGCCCTGCCACTACCCCCAGCTTTCAGCCACGACCTCAGACTGGTGGCAGACCTGTTGGTTCCTATCCCCATGATGTGCGGCAGAGACCGAGGAGGGACTTTCGTGAGCCAGTTTGCCGCCCTGTTAGACAGACCCGGGCCTCAAATCCTGGACGCCCTCCCCCCAGAGCCCCCAGGGGCCGTGGGGATAGAAGATTATGCCACCGGGCCAGCCGTCGGACATTTTTCCCATCAGCAGCTGAATTTCTGGGCTGCTCATGCCGTAGATCCATGGGTGGTTGCCACCTTAACCAATGGCTACAGGCTCCAGTTCCGACGGCGGCCCCCTCTCTCACACCGGGTCAAGATGACTGTCATCACAGACCCGGTGAAATCTCAGGCACTAGACCAGGAGCTTTCCGCCCTCCTGGGCAAGGGGGCAATCGAGTCTGTAGATCCTCTGCGGCAACCCAGAGGCTACTACTCCACATACTTCCTTGTGGCCAAGAAGACCGGCGGTTTTCGCTCCATTTTAGATCTAAGGGGACTGAATCGGTACCTGAAGGTCCTTCCCTTCCACATGCTCACCATAACAGAGGTCCTTCAGACCATTGTGGGGGGAGATTGGTTTACATCAGTAGATCTGACAGACGCCTACTTTCACGTGCCTATTGCGGCAGAACATCGCCGTTTTCTCAGGTTTGCCTATCGGGGGCGCCATTGGCAATTCCGGGTGCTCCCATTCGGGCTCTCCCTTTCCCCGAGGGTGTTTACTTGATGCGTGAAAGCAGCCCTCTCTCCTCTACAGGCCTCCGGAGTCAGGATTCTGCCATACCTGGACGATTGGCTTCTTTGTGCTCCCTCTCAGGTAGCTGCCTCTCGGGATACGTCCCAGCTTCTACTTCATGTGTCACTGTTAGGCCTCAAAGTCAACTTGGCAAAGAGTTGTCTTGTTCCATCTCAGACAACCACCTTTCTTGGGATGCATCTGGACTCTGCCACCATGATGGCCCGTCCATCTGTTCACAGGGTGGACGACATACTCCAGCTTGTCCGTCGATTCAGACTGGGCCGGGAGTTTCCCTACATCATCTTCCTGCGAATGCTGGGCAAACTGACATCAGTCACTCGTGTCATGCCCTTAGGGCTGCTCCTTCTGCGTCCTTTGCAGCGATGGCTCAACAGCTTTCGACTAGACGCCAGGCTGCACAGGCATCGCAGGCTAATGGTGACCAGGAGCTGCCTCCATGCCCTAGCTCCTTGGCGAGACGGGACCCTTTTGTCCAGTGGTGTTCCAATGGGGCTAGTAGTGTGTCGAAGGGAGGTGGTAACCACGGATGCCAGCCTCATGGGCTGGGGTGCCGTGTGGCAACACAGAGCTGTTCGGGGTCTCTGGGACCCAAGGGAGCGCACCGAAC